CTTACCCGAGCAAGGCGAGCGCATATGGCGGCGGCAACAGCGACGAAGGAGGGACTCTGCCTTCACTTCCGGTTCTCGGCTTCCCTCTTACCCGGGACTCCCGCCTTCTCGCCTGCCAGCGCGCAGGCGCAAGAGACCGGAAGAAGATCCTTCCAGACTCAATAGTTCCGTGCGCGCTGGGGTTGCCTTTAAAAAATGCCTGTGTGAAAAAAAAAATTTTTTTAAGCCACTTCTAACTCCTCCGCTACTGCAAATAACAAAAGGCATAAAGGAAACTAGCATCATCTCCCACTGTTACCTTTTTTCTATTGTCCTCGTCTACTCCACGTCCCTCACCTCTTCCCTTAGTTTCTTGCCGGGCAGGTCTTCTCTCTGGGCACCCCTCCGTAGGCGCCCCGCTCGGTGGAACAGGATGGAGGGGGCTGGGAGTTCCCACGGGGTCCTTGGCCGGGTAGTCAAGGTGACCCGGGGGCGTCAGGAGCTAGTCTGACCCCAGCTGAGCGGAAGGAATGACCCTGAGCCGTGCTCACGGGTCCTCCCCTTACCCTTTCCCCAGTGGTGGAGACGGTGGGCGGCATTTGCCTCAAATAATGTGGGCCGATGTAGTTGATGCCCCAAGGACCCCGAGGCTGATGGGCAGGAAATTCGAGGCAGGAATGTGTTCTGAATCCACTGAGTGGGGGACGGGGCGGTCTAGATTCTGCCTCAAGTGTTGAAGATAAATGGTGGGGCTTGAGGGTTACACAACATCCCATAAGTATTGTTAATTCGAGCAGACTGTCTTAGCCCCGCTTCCAGCAGCCCCATTGTTCAGCTTGAATTTTTTCCTGAATGAAACCTTTGACACCCCAGTCTTTGATAGGCCTCAGAAGTCAGACGTGATGTCAACAAAAATGATAGCAAACGTTTGGCTCTTTACCTGTTACCACAGTTAACCGTTTGACACTAAGGAATAGATACCATTATTCCCATTCTATAACAAGCAAACAAATAAAGCAATATGTCCAAAGTAACAAAGCTAGTACGGTGACAGAGCCAGGATACAAATACATTTTATTCTCTATTGTATCCACCTCCCTGCTTAAAGAGTCTGGTTAATAATTACACTGTGGATTACCTCATTGGTTCAAGTCTTTGGCTTGGTGAAGCAGGGATTGTTTTCTGTGGCCAAGAGAAATAACAATGATCCAAGGATGGTGTCATAGAAGGACAGTTTTCCCGACTCTAAGTATCCCAAGTTTTGGGGCACCGGGGTGGCTCATTCTGTTAAGCGTCTGCTTCGGCTCACGTCATTATCTCCAGGTCCTGGGATCAAGCCCCGCATCAGGCTCCCTGCTCAGCAAGGAGCCTGCTTCTCCCTCTCCCTTTGCCCCTCCCCCCATGTTCTCTTTCACTCTGCTCTCTCTCGAAAATAAATAAATAATCTTGAAAAGAACAAGAAAGCAAGATAAGGAACAAAAAGTGCTTGTTCCTACACTGCAGCTTTTCTCCATAGTTGCCATCTATAGTTCTCAGGTTCCCAACGAGTAACCCCACCTTTGTTTCTCACTTTAGAGAAATAATAACACACTAGTTCCTTTTGTTTTTCCAACAAGTTTCAAAGAACAGCCCTTTGGGGTGTTTGGGGAATACATAAATAAAAAACAAGAGAGTGACTGAAAATGAGAAATGATGAAGCAAAAGGAAGCTGCTTCGACACACCAGTTGATTTGCCCATAGTTTTTTTATTGACACTTTTTCATTGTTACAAGGGAAACGTGTTCAAGATGTAGAAAGGAAAGCCATGCATACAACGGAACATAGCATCACTTTAGATCTCAGGAAGCAGTGAGCATCTGATGGGCCTTCGGGGAAATCGGAAAAGGGGGAATCCAATAAAGGGAAAAACCAACTTAGAAACAAAAAGAAAGACTAAGAAATTCAACATCTTCCTGGAATCACAGTAGAGAGGCTAAACGAGGTCTTCATTACTTTTCAGGGATCATAAAGCTCTGGGGAAAGAGAGGTGGGAAGAACTAATTCTTCAGAGAATTACTAGGTTCACAGAATGAATGAGTAGAACTAGAGAACCGTTGACGAATGTGAGGAAACAGCTGTGTTTAGGTTTTGGCAGGTGGGCAGGGAGCGGTAATAATACCATAAAGCTACCATTTATTGAATCACAGCTACTAGATGCCAGAAACCACACTAGGCTCTTTACAGAGTGATTCCTAATCATTGCAGCAACCCTATAAGGTAGGTATTATTATCATCATCATCATTTTAGTCCCGTAGAGGAGGACATTGGACTAGGGGTTAAGTAGCTTGTCCTGTCCCAGCAAGTGGCAGGGTTGGGAAAGGGACTTCAGCCTGCCAGGCTCTGAAGCCAAAGTGTTTTTCACATCCCTACTTCTCCATGATACAAATTTCAAAGAGGGGTCAGGTGAGGGTGACTTGGGAGTTTTCAAGGTCCCAGTGAAGGTTAAAGAACAATAAGGAGATTCAGATCTGAACAGGAGAACTTCTAAATTTCGCAGAATTATTGGATCTTGCCCCTAGAATTTCCAGGGAATGGAGAGCAAGTGGGAAAGAAGCAGCGAAGATGGTGGGAGGTAATTTTGATTGGGGGATTTCTTTGAGGAAGGGAACTGGAAGGGAACAGTTAGGCCCTACGGTGGATCCTAGACAGCAATCCGGTAGTTGGGGTGGACCTGGGGCCTGACGTCGCAGACCATGCCAAGAAGTTGGGCCAGGACGCGTTCTCGGTTTCTCTGCTGGGAGCTCTGCATGCCCTGCACTTGGCGTCTTGTAGCCTGTTCCACCTCAGCCGACAAGTTCCCCTGGGAGCCCATGGCCTGGGGGGATTGGGAAAGGGATGGAAGAGAGAAAGGCAAAAGCAGAAACAGAGAAAGAAGGGTCCAGGCAGGTGGAGAGAAAGATCCTGGAGCAAGGCCAGGAAGAAAACCCCTTGCCAAAACCAGCCCCATCCCATGGAAATATCCAGACACCAAAGAAAGCAACACAATTCCCTTTCCTTTGGGACTTGACATGCAACTTCATCCTAAAACAGACTGTAAAATCCCCACTACCTCACTACACCTGATCATAAAACTCTGCCTTCTACCCCAAATGACATCATACTCCACGTAGACGGTGGCAATTCCCCCCACAAGCTGTATAAGTCTTTCAAAACTCTCAGATTCTCTTCCTTATCACACATCTTTATCAATAACGTGGTCCCTCCTAAGGGTCCCCTTCAGCCCTTTACCACCTTATTTTCTTGTAGAGTCACACTGTCCACACCTTATCAGATACACCCACCACTTTGCACCCTGGGGTCCCATCTCAACTCTCCCACTACTCACCGCCTGCTGCTTGCTCTGGAATTCCTGCTCTCGCTCTCTACGGTACTGTTCCACCTCCATTTGTGCCTCCTCCTTTGCCTGCTTCAGACGCCGGGCCTTCCCTGGAAGCAGAAGAAAGGGCAGGGGGTGGGGGTAGACCCCCTCACAAAATGTGATAGTAGTGGTTATTCCTTTCCAGAAAGTTTTTCTGCCTTCTCTCAGCCAACCAGGTGCTAGATTCTAACACCCACCCATTTCTTCCCTCCTAATCAGCCATCCCAGCCCCAGCTTTCTCCCCACCAGCCTTGGATTTTCCCAGGGACTCGAATGTTTGCTGTCCCCCCACCCCAATTTCCTTTCCAGACTCCTAAGGGAGAGAAGAGGAGACTCACTCTTTCTGGCATCTGCCACCTTCTCAGCCGCCCGCTTCTCAGCTTGCAGGAGCTGCTGGATACCCTGGGACTGACTGGCCATTTCTGTCGTTATTGCTGATGCTCTTTCAGATGCTACCAAGGTACCAGATGGCTCCCCCCACCCCACCCCCAACACACACACACATACACCGCCTACTTCTCCTCTTCCACCAGCTCCTTGCTGCAATCCTCCACCAACCCTGGGTCTTAGTGCTCCCCTTTTCCGCTCAGCCTCCTGCACCAGGTGTCTCCCCCAAACTGATCCTCCCATTGATGGCTGGTCTCTTCTCCCACGTCTACACTGGCAGTACCCAGAAGAACCACATGGGAGCAGCAGAGACCAGACCCAAAGCTGCCGGCTACCGTCACAGCAGGTGCAGGGTTTTCCCGGTCGGAACGTCCAGGAGTGGGGGCAGGGGCAAAAAGGAGTGAGAAGGAGGCATAGAGGGGTTGAAAATGGGGTGAAAAGGTAAGGAAGTCGACACGTGTCGTGTATTGGGAGAAGAGGATGCTGGGTTTCCCTAAATTCTTCCTACTTCTCTTCCCTTTTTTTTTTCTCTCTCTCCCGTTTCTATCTCCCTCTTTTTATCTTTCCCAAGTCTAAATTTCTGCATCCATTTCATTTGCCTTCTCCTATAGTTGTTTCTTTATGTCTTTCACACATGTCTTTTTTGATCTGGCCCTGTTCTTGACCTCGTTGTGGTTTTAGTTTTGGTTTTCCATTTTCATCATGATTTTTAGTCCTCTTTATCTCCCCTGTTTTCTCTCTCTTCTCCTCTTCTATCTCTGAACCATCTCCTCTCTCTTCCCGTTTGGGGGAGGGGAGGATAAATCTCTAAATCGCCGTTTTTACCCTCCCATGCTCGGCTACTTTTCCTCGTTTACCGTCCAGTCTTCCGCTTTCGGGCGGACCCTTTATCCTAAGTTCCCAAGTTCCCCACCGAGGCCAGACTGAGGAAACACACACACCCCGTCCCCTCGGAGAGAGACGACATCCGGTAACGCGCTCATTTCCGCCCTTTACCTGCGTCTCGGCTTGCGCCATTTCCGCCAGCCTAGAGTGTCTCCGCCCTTCCCGCCTCCCTTCCTCGAGCGTCTTAAACACAGGCCTTGGGCCTACAGCTCTGGGGGTACTTAGGGGGGCGGGGGGCAGGTCTGATGAGTAACCCCTCCCCCCAGGTCCCAGAGGGAGAAGCCTCCACATCTGTCTGCCGGGTACATCATATTCCGTTTCTAGATCATTATTTGAAATTATCTGTGACTTAAATTCAGATTTCTGTTGATAAAAATTTTCCCCATCATTCTTTGTCTTTTTCAAAGTCTCTTGTTAACAATTATCTGGGCTAATGAGCCTCAAAGCAATTATTTATACTTTTCTCAAATTTTACATTAAGAAATCTGTGACCCAAGCCCTCTTCAAAAATTTTTTCAAACCTACCTAAGGGATGAGAGTTAGGAGAGGCCTCATCTCTTGCTGAAGATGTAAGAAGGGGGACCGAAGGGAGGAACAAGAGGGAATGTCAGGGACGGTGGGGGAGGGACCAGGCAAGGCTGGGGCCCTGACGGCTGCCTTTTTTTCCTTCTTCCTCAGCCCAAGACTTCCATGGCCTCCACTTCCCGCCGCCAACGCCGAGAGCGTCGCTTCCGTCGTTACTTGTCTGCAGGACGGCTGGTCCGGGCCCAGGCCCTCCTCCAGCGACACCCAGGCCTTGATGTAGACGCTGGGCAACCCCCACCACTGCACCGGGCCTGTGCCCGCCACGATGCCCCCGCCCTGTGCCTGCTGCTTCGGCTTGGGGCTGACCCTGCCCACCAGGACCGCCACGGGGACACGGCGCTGCACGCTGCTGCCCGCCAGGGCCCTGATGGTGAGTTTGCCTGGTGGGGAACAAGGTCATGAGCCACTGACTGACCGGGAATGAGATGAAGGCCAACGATTGAAAGATAAGCTAGTTATGCCTGGGAAGGTAATTAGTTGACCATGTTGGCATGTGGCAATCATTTGTGACTTTACTGAGTCACCATTGTCTGAAGAACCCAACATTCTCAAAACAGCAACTTCAGATTTCACATCTTTCTAGATGAGTAGCTATTTTGTCTCTTGACTGGTTGTTTGCCTGCCATGCAAAAAGTAAGATAGAGGGTAGGTTCTGCAATTCCATTGCCTGGGTTCAAATCCCAGCACCACACTTAACAGCTGTGTATTCTAGGGCAACTTACTAAACTTCCCTGAGGCTTAGTTTGCCCTCATGCAAAATTAAATAACAACAACCTTTTGCTGTGTCCCCGCACTTCTCACAAATCAGCATTTAATCCTCACAACAATAAGTACTAATATTATCCCCTATTTCTCAGATGAGGAAACAGCACAGAGAAGTTAAGTAACTTGTCAAAGTCACCCAGCTACAAAGTGGTAGAGCAGGGATTAGAACCCAGGCAGTCTAGCTAGACCATCTGTAATCTTTTTTTTTTTTTTTTAAGATTTTATTTATTTATTCGACAGAGAGAGAGACAGCGAGAGAGGGAACACAAGCAGGGGGAGTGGGAGAGGGAGAAGCAGGCACCCCGCAGAGCAGGAAGCCCGATGCGGGGCTCGATCCCAGGACCCTGGGATCATGACCTGAGCCGAAGGCAGATGCTTAACGACTGTGCCACCCAGGCGCCTCTAGACCATCTGTACTCTTAACGACTGTGTTATCCTATGCGGTATGTTATAGAATTATACAATGATGCGCCCATGTTCAAAGCACCCATGCTGTCACGTATATTTTGAGAATCAACTGACACAATATGTAATTAGAGCACCTGGCATGTGATTAGCACACAGTAGATGTTGGCCAGTAGTGTTTCTGATATCAACAGATCCATACTTCCTTACCCTCAGCTCTGCAACTCAAAAATACTAAGAGTCAAACATTTTTCACCAGACTTGTTTGGTGAGAAAACCTAACCTGAACTAAAGCGAGACTATCTGTGAATTGTTTTTATCCTACTGATGTCAATGTTCGTACATTTCTCTGCAGAAACATTCATGTGTTTGGTCACTGGAGCTGCCAGCTGGCCCTCCAGGCCACTTAATATACCGTGTATGTACTTTCAGATCAGCCCTACCAAATCCCAAAAACATCTGAGTTCTGAAAAACCTTTGACACTGAAGGTTTCAGATGGGAACCTATGGACAGTGGAAGCAGCTCTGTAGAGATAATAGCCCTCAGGAAAATAAAACCCTCTAGCGATTCTCCCCTGCTAGAGATTTTCCTTCTAGAGTAAGAACATTAGAGGAAAATCCCTGGGTTGGGTTGAACAACCTTAGCTCAGTTTGACTGCTGCTATCACCATCTTCCAGCTCCCCAACAGAAACCCCTCTCATCCCAAAAACTTCCCCCATATAGGAGAAAAAAAATCCCCTTTTCTTTAATTCCTCTTAATATAGTGAGATAGGCTGGCATATTCAGATTAAAAAAAAAATTTAAAAAGAGGAGATTTGCAAAATGTAGGCATCCAGTTTGACAGCTGACATTACACATGGCAAGAGAACAGAGAACCCTGTGGCAGATCTCAGACCTCCTCCAAGTTCAAATTCTACCACCTACAGGCTGTGTACCAGGGACATGCAACTTAACTTCCATGAGCCTAATTTGCCTCTCTTTTTTTAATTATTTTTTATTTTTTAACTCGCCTCTCTAAAATGGAAGTTGTGACAAGTAAATGAGGCAAGCACTTGGTATAGGTTTGGCACCCACCAGATAAAAAGTATTGTTATTTTTATTCTTACATTACCCAATTACGGCTTTTTGAGTAATAAAAATCTCTCGCATAGGACCTTCTTTTATTATATTGACATCTAAGAAGCACATGAGATCGATACTGTTACCCTATTACAGATGAGGAAATTAGGGTCCAGAAGGTTCAGGAACTTCCTGAAATCTACTAGCCAACAGGTTGTTGTCTTCCTAAGAGGGACCTGCCCTCGGGTCCCTCCCAAGCCCTGGTATACATCCTCTCAGGCCTTACTTCCTCCTGTTCCCCTGACAGCCCTGCCACCAGGTGGCCGTCTGGCTCTTTTGTAGAATGGCCCATCTCATTCAGCTTCTAGCTGCTTTAGAGACCATTAGGTCTTGAAATGCAAATATGTTCTTTGAACAGATGAAGTGACCCAGGATCCCCTAAGGAAGGGGAGGTGTTCTCCTATTCCCAAGTTAGGTGCGAGGGGTGAGGCAGTTCATGCTGGATTGACTGGGCTATGTGGTCACAACCAATGAGATGCCAGTGAATGGCTTTTGGTAACTTCCTTTTGGGACCCATCCCCTCATGGGGAAGTGGTCTTAGCTGTCAAAGGTGTGTCATGAACATACCTTAGTCAGACGATAACCATTCTCTACACACTACAAGAATTAGTGAACACCAAGAAACAGCAGGTCATTTTCTCACAGTCTTTACAAAAAGAAGAAAGTCCAAAGCCAGCCCGGTATTTTTTTTTGTTTTCTTATGTAACATTCACTGCACTTCTGCTTATTGCCAGCACAGTGTCAGACATCTGCCATCCACCGCTCACTTACACTGCAGAGCAGGAGTAAGCTGTGGCCCTGTTTGGCACATAGCTGTGCTGTCTGATTTACGTTCCATTTGCCTTTCCAGCCTTTCCTACCGTGGCACAACCACAGACCTGCAGCTCCAGCTACGTAGCTCTGTCTTCAGTGACTCCAAACATGTTTTTCACAAGACTGCCTCTACCTGTTGCCTTCCCAACCACCTGATTTTCACTTTGCTAAGTTATCCTCCCTTCCCAGCCCAACATAAGCCCACCTCCTCCTTGAAGCCCTCTCTGACCCCCCTCCCACTTTACCTTTTCTTCCTCTGTGCCTCAGTTAATCATCACTCAGTATAAGTTTCCAATATTGGTGTTTTTAAAAAATGTGTTGTGCCAGTTAGTGTGAACATCCCTTTAAGGTAGAAATCACATCTCATTATGGAGAAGGGAAGAACAGTGCTTCTGTCACTAAGAAAAGTACATGTTTACTTCAAGTTTTTTTTTTTTAAAGATTTTATTTATTTATTTGACAGAGAGAGACAGCGAGAGAGGGAACACAAGCAGGGGGAGTGGGAGAGGGAGAAGCAGGTTTCCCACGGAGCAGGGAGCCCGATGCGGGGCTCAATCCCAGGACCCTGGGATCATGACCTGAGCTGAAGGCAGACGCTTAACGACTGAGCCACCCAGGCGCCCCCAAGTTTTTTTTTTTTAATACAGATTTTTCCTAATATTATAAAAGCACAACATACTAATTAAAGAACACTGGGAAGTTGATCTGCACTGCTAAATTGGTGATAAAGGTGGCATTTCAAATCACTGGAGGGCAGTGAGCTATTTTAATAAACAACATTGAAGCATTTGGTTCATCTGGGGAAGAGTCCTACCTCACACCTGACTCAAAAATAAATTACAGGGGCGCCTGGGTGGCTCAGTCGTTAAGCGTCTGCCTTCCGCTCAAGTCATGATCCCAGGGTCCTGGGATCAAGCCCTGCATCAGGCTCCCCGCTCCGTGGGAAGCCTGCTTCTCCCTTTCCCACTCCCCATGCTTGTGTTCCCTCTCTCGCTGTATCTCTTTCTGTCAAATAAATAAATTAAATCTTAAAAAAAAAAAAAAGTAAATTACAGCTGCTTAAAACCTAAATATGACAGGAAGGGTGTGTACCAAATTCATGGGAGGAGTTTTCTCTGAGGAGGGGAATAAAATTTGGAAGGCAACATCAGAAAAAGCTTTAGCTTTATCTGTGATAGTTTATTTCTTTAAGACAAAATAATGTTGCAGAAATTACAGAATAGTAACATACCTTGTGGGAGGAATAGGGGTATTTATTGTACTATACTTTTTACATTTTTTTTTTAAGATTTTATTTATTTATTTGACAGATAGAGACAAAGCGAGAGAGGGAACACAAGCAGGGGGAGTAGGAGAGGGAGAAGCAGGCTTCCCGCTGAGCAGAGAGCCCGATGTGGGGCTCGATCCCAGGACCCTGGGATCATGACCCGAGCCGAAGGCAGACGCCTAACGACTGAGCCACCCAGGCACCCCTATACTTTTTACATTTTTTTTAAGATTTTATTTATTTATCTGAGAGAGAGAGAGCACAAGCAGGGGAAGCGGCAGGCAGAGAGAGAAGCAGGCTTCCCACTGAGCAGGGAGCCCGATGCGGGGCTCAATCCCCGGACTCTGGGATCATGACCTGAGCCGAAGGCAGACGCTTAACCTACTGAGCTACCCAGGCACCCCTACATTTTTTTAGATAAACTAAAAAAATAGTAGAAAAAAACACAAGAGGATATTTTTATAATCTTAGAGTGGAGAAAGCCTTTCTAAGGATGAAATAAAGCCAAAAGCTATAAAAGAAAATATTGATATGGATTTAACTACATAAAAACTTTTCAAAGATGGGAGAAAATATTTACAAATACTTGACACAAGAGGTTGATATCTATAATATATAAAGAGTTATCATGTCTACATATATAATTTCTAGGAGAGCAGTAGACAGAGAATATGAACAGGTCATTCACAAAAGAAATAAAGAGCCAGGGGCACCTGGCTGGCTCAGTCAGCAGAGCTTGTGACTCTTGATCTCAGGGTCATGAGTAGATTACTTAAAAAAAGAAAAAGAAAAAGCCAAAAAACATATAAAACAAAGAAAATTTCATTAATAAAATCATTTTTTCCTCATTAGATGAGCAAAATTAAAAGGATTGGTTGGTGATAATCTTGGTAAAGGACAACACAGGCGCTCTTTAGTCTCCGTAGGAGTATATGTTGGCACAAATTTGAGAGCGGTTTGATAAAACCGCACATGTTGTTTGACTCAGAAATTCCACTTCTGAGAGTCTACCCCACAGAAATACTGTAAGGAGTCTACAAAGACATATGTAGGAGGCCGAACATTTTTGGAAACAAAGTCTGCTGACTGGGCGTGGGGAGATGTTTGTTTCATACACATGGTGGAACACTACACAGTCATAAAAAAGAATGAGGTGGACTGTGTACGGTCCTGTGGGAAAGTACAAATGAGACGTTAGGTGAAAAAAGCAAGTTGCCAAACAAAACATAGAGCGTGACTACGTATCTCGGAAGAAAGTCATCCTGTGTATGCATTTATACACCCAGACAGGACTGGAAGGTACCACAGCAAACTTAACAGTGATTAAATGTATTCTTCACTCTTTAAAAAGAAAAAAAATGTTTCACATTAGTTATATCCCTTTCACATTAAAATATTAACCAGGGGTGCCTGGGTGGCTCAGTCGTTAAGCATCTGCCTTCAGCTCAGGTTGTGATTCCAGGGTCCTGGGATCGAGCCCCGCATCGGGCTCCCTGCTCCGCGAGAAGCCTGGTTCTCCCTCTCCCACTCCCCCTGCTTATGTTCCCTCTCGCTGTCTCTCTCTCTGTCAAATAAATAAATAAAATCTTAAAAAAAAAAAAATTAAATAAGATTGGAGGACAGCCACCCATAGTCCTACCACCCAGAGACTAGGATTTTTACATATTTTCTTCTAGTCTGTTTTTTTCCAACTAGGATTTGGGATTTGGCTGCTTCTTTTACACGGTTGTGATTGGATCCTATGTATAGTTTCGTAGCCAGCTTTTTCCACACACAAACATCATTTTTAGTGGCTATTGAATCTTCTGTACCATATTTTACTTACCATGTTTAAAGCCCATGAGTTTAAAAACCTCCTGTGCAAGCCTGAACACCCACCTACCCTCGTACCTGCTGTGAACCATGGTGGGGAATAAGCAGTTGAAAGAGAGGACTGGGTATTTGCTGGGTGGGACAGGTGGGGAGGGTTGGTGACAGGTCACGTCAGTGGTAAAGAGAAATGTCCTCTCCTCCTCTCATCCTGATGTGGTTTGAGCTGGGCAGCACTCGAGTGTACCAAGAGATGATGGGTGGGGGGCGATGGGCCTTGGCCAGCCAAGGTGGGCCCATTGTGTCTTCCTACCTTCCTGGCAGTGACAGGACAACCCTTCCCTGTCCCATCCTTTTGCCAGGTGGCCAGTACTTGGCAGCACCACAAAATAAAGATTTAATGACTGGCGGCCCATTTCCTCCTGCCCTAGGAAGAGAAAGTAGGTGCACAGGAAGGGAGGGTGCCTCACTCACCTTCCTCTGTCCCGGGAGTGGAAGAGGTGCTTGGTGGCCGTAGTGGGTGGGCTTGGCCAGGAGTAGAGTGCTGTGTTGGCAGTAAAGTGGTCAGCATGGCCTTCAGCTGATGCTAGAGTGGATGCAGTGAGGTCAGGGCTCAGGAGGAGCGGGGGTTCGGGAACATCAGTCCCTCTTCTGTTTACCCCCAGCCTCCTGTTAGCCAGTCCCTGGGTGGGACCCTCTATCTCAGCCCCTTTCTCCTGCCCTAGGTCAGTAGTCAGTTTGGAAAGAGCTTGCTTCGCTGCTGGGAACATTTCCATGGCTTAAAACTCATTGCTGGTCTGGACCCTGTACCTCCCCAACCCCTCCCAGTATGCCCTGTATGAGGTTGGCTGAGAGAAAGTCCCCTCCCTGAAAATATTTTACTCAGTTTATTGAAAAGCAATGTGAAAAGGTTTCTGTTACTTATTTGCATATTTATAATGGTGCAGAGTAAAATGTTCAGATATTTTACCAGTCTGAAGTATAGCTTTGGGCCAGAAACACAGTAAGAGTTATAAAGCGACAATATTTTCAAACCAAAAATGAAATTCATGGGTGGAGGTTTTTGACATGGCCCAGTGTGGCTGGAGGCAGGCTGGGAAATGTCATTGAACATAGTAGAACTCCTAGGATACTAAAATAGTTTGTGGGGACACAGATCAGAATATTTTAAACTACCACGCCTCTCACGCATGTGGTAAACTATCAGTAAGAATTTGTCAGTGACCGTGATTTCCTAACACCCAGGAGGCTTCCGTGCGGGCAACCCTTGCCGTTGCTCTAAGACCGAGAGAGTGAGTGACCAGCGGGATTCAGGATGGCGGCTGTGCCAAGGGGCGGGGGTCCCAGCTGATTTCTGCTCCCGGCTCTCCCAACAGCCTACACGGACTTCTTCCTGCCACTGCTGAGTCGCTGCCCTTCTGCTATGGGGATAAAGAATAAGGATGGGGAGACCCCTGGGCAGATTCTGGGCTGGGGACCCCCCTGGGATTCTGCTGAAGAGGAGGAAGAGGACGAGGCCTCTAAGGAGCGGGAATGGAGGCAGAAGCTGCAGGGAGAGCTGGAGGATGAGTGGCAGGAGGTCATCGGGAGGTTTGAAGGTGAGGAATCCATTCCCATGCATAGCTGCCCTTCTTCCCCTTGACCACTTTTCCTGTACCCGCCGCATGAAACCTCCCGCCGGCCTCCTGTACCCCCGTCCTCTATACCGCCCTCCCCTCTTGCCTGTCCCCTCCTCCCAGCATTTCCCCGGCCACCCCCATCCTGCCCTCCCAAGCAGATGACGCTTCCCATGAGGCCCAGGAGCCCGAGTCCTTCTCAGCCTGGTCAGACCGCCTGGCCCGGGAGGGCGCCCAGAGGCGGCGGCGGCAGCAGCGCGGGGCAGAGGGAGCCTGCCGACCGGCACGGGCTGCGGGCCCCAGTCACAGCTGGCCGCGGCAGGAGGAGGAGCAGCGGCGCTTCCGAGAGCGGGCGCGGGCCAAGGAGGAGGAGCTGCGAGAGGGCCGGGCCAGGCGGGCACAGGAGGCTCGTGGGGACCGAGGGCCAGAGCCAGTCAGGGCTGGGCCCAGGGCAGAGCCCCCAAGAGGAGCAGGGAGGGGCAGCCTCTGGCGCTTTGGTGATGTGCCCTGGCCCTGCCCTGGGGGGGGGGACCCGGAGGCCATGGCCGCAGCCCTGGTGGCCAGGGGCCCCCCGTTGGAGGAACAGGGAGCCCTAAGGAGGTACTTGAGGGTCCAGCAGGTCCGCTGGCACCCTGACCGCTTCCTGCAGCGATTCCGAAGCCAGATTGAGACCTGGGAGCTGGGTCGCGTGATGGGGGCCGTCACGGCCCTTTCTCAAGCCCTGAATCGCCACGCGGAGGCCCTCAAGTGACCCCAGGGAAAGAGTGAGAAACTGCAGGGAACGCAGCCTTAGAGGCAGGGCAGTAGTAAGGGGAAGGTCAGGGATGGGGATGACGAGGAAGAGGCTGATGCTGTACGGCGAAGGATATGGGGTGGGAGCGAGACTTGTAATGAGTGGGAGTGGGGAGGATATGGGCCACCACCACTGCTCCTTGACTCCTCTAGTTCCTAATAAGACCTGGTTCCACATCTCACTCCTGGTGTCTCTTCTGCCTTTTTCCATTGCTGTGGTTTTCATCATACATGACCTCTCCTTTCTCACCCCGCCCGCCAAAATCCGCAGCTCCTACACACCTGCAGCACGCACTCACACACCAAGTTGGGCTCTCAGCTGGAGCCAAGAAGGCCCTGCTTGCCCACCTGCAAAGGCAGCCCTAAGAAGACCCAGTTTGCCCACCAGTCTCCACTCCCTGCGCTGGGCTCCTCCACTGTGCTGTCAGTGACTGGAGAAATAGACGTGAACAGAGACGAAAAAGGGAACAAAACCAGTTTCCCTCCTCTCCCCAGTTCCCCAGCTAGAACCACATCCTCCTCCCCACTTAACACTCCCTCCCCCAACACAGGGCTTTCCCTTTGCTGAGTCACTGAATGATCTGAGTTGGGGGCAGCTGGAGCTGGGGGCCATGAGGAGGTTGTGGGAGGATGGGATAGAAGCAGAATGGACAAAGGAAGAGCCCTGTGGGGGAGTGGAATTTCGGTTGCTAAAATTAGGAGCAGGGGAAGGAGGTGGAAAGAGCCAAATTATGTAACCTGGGTTGTCTGTTCTTGGGCAACCAGCGATCCACACCCAAGGCTATCTCCCCGCTAGCTCCTCAGTCCTATGTCTTCGCCTCCAGGGCCCCAGTCCTTGCCAGCTTCTGCCCCCATCCCACACCTGGGCTTCCTCTCTCAGCAGTCTAGCCTTCCAGAGAGGCATCTTTTCCTGAAGTTGAGGAAAAGGTACTGAGGGGCGGAGGGAGAGGGTCTGGCGCCATCCCTTTCACTGTTCCATACTCAGATCCACTCGAGCTCCCCAGAACCGGGAGAGGAAGTTGTAGATGGTACCAAACCCCGCTGTCGTCCCCCAGGACACAACAGGGAACTCCGCAAAGAGCAAAGAGTTACAGGCGTGTGCTGGCGTGTGCGGTCTGCATGCGTCTACATCAGAGAATATTAAGAATCAGAAACAAATTTTTTAGGGTTGGAGCCCTGGTCTACTCAGGAGAATCCTGAGGGCAGTAGAGGAGAGGGAGGGAAGCCCGCGGGAGCAGGGGAACACGGGCGGGCACGAGACCCTGGGAGAAGACAGCCAAAGAGACCCGAGGCCTCCCAGGGAGCAGGCAGCTGTCAGGGTCCGGAGGAGGAAGGGCTGATGAGAAAGATCTGTGAGAGGAAGCTGCTGTGATTCAGAGAAGAGCCTGCGAGCTGTGAGCAGCCCAGGCGTCCGGTTCCTCTCACAGGCCGGAGATTTCGGAAGTGGCATGCAAAGAGCCCAGCTGTGGAGCTGGGGGGAGCTGGGGTTGGGATCCCTAAGCTGGGGGTTGAGAGGTAAGCAATAGAAACCTTTGGCGTCCAGATTCGCTCCTCCATCCAGCAGAGTTTTCTTTGGTTTTGAAGCACATCATTTCCCCTCTGCAAGAGTTACATAAAACCAAAGCAAAATAAGCCCTGATCCCTGGCCCCCAAACCTCCCTCTTCTCAACGTCCCTCCCTGGTGTCTGGCCCCCAGGCCTGTTGGGGGTTCCCCTGAGTGAGGGCTGTTCACTTTCTCTGACCACAGGGTTTCCGCTTCTGTGTCTCTTGTTTCCTAGGCTGATAAAAATACTGAGCCCTAGAGGCCCTGGCTTCCTCTGACCCCCTGGGGCCAGGCAGCAGGCATCCTGTCCACCGTGGTGGGGGCAGGGAGGGGGGCCCAGGGATCCCCAAGGGATGACTCAGTGCCTACCATGAAACACTGGGGAGGTGTGAATGTGTGTATCTGCTCTCGAGAGCTGGAACGAGGAATCAATTCTTGGGGAAGGATGATGCATTGGGGTTCAGTTAGGAAAACAGGATTAGGGAACGAGACTAGTGAGATCAAAGAGGGTCAGTTGGGGGATTGAGCTTGGGGCCGGTTTGAGTTAAGTTGGGAAAAGGATCTGGGGGGGACTCTATTCAGTGTAGTTCAACTGAGCAACAAGTAGCCCAAAGATAAATCCAAACTGCTGCAAGTTTGCAGTCTAACAGGGGAGGTAAGGCCCACAGCTAATTGTCATTCAGGGCATGATGCTGAGTAAATATTAGAGCGTAAGACACAGTGGGTATGGAAGGGGGAGGGGGCGCTGAGCCGGGAGAGGGCATTTGACTGGTGCTGAGTGGGCAGAATTTCTATGGGTGGAGGTGGCGGGAAAGGCTCCATAGACAAACGAACTGGCTTCAGCAGAGACCAGGAGTCAGAAAACAGTGTATTGAGGAAAAGACGAGTGTCCTGAGGAAGACGAAGCACAGGTGTGAGTGAGCAGGTGTTGAAGAGAGGCCCGCAGGAGGCCAAGGTACAGGGTCCGGGACCTCAGCCTGTGTGCCGCGGTAGTGGCGGCAGCCCTGCAGAAGAGGGGGAGAGAGCGGAGAGTGCTGCGGGGGTTACAGACGAGGAGTGAAGAAGAAAACCGCGATCATTCCTGCCATGTCAAGCCCTTTCCTAACAGGAGTAATCCTGCCAACAACTGTTCAGAAGGTGGGTGGTGGATCTCCTTTGTAAAGAGGAAACGGGGCGGGGGGCTCACAAACATACTGAACTTGCTTAAGGCCACACAGGTAAAAAGTAGCAGATTAGCACTAAGTGCATCTTACTCCAAAACTTGTGTGCTTTCACTTAGGTCCGAGTAACTCCAAATAGCGTTAAAGGAGGGAACAGATCTTAAAAACTTTGAGAGGATAAGTCATTAGCACAACTGGTGGGACGGTGGGAGGAATCTTAGAAGAAGAGGAATCTTGGATGACCCTGAATTTTGTTCCTAGGGGATTAGAAAGATGATGCCCTAAGCCTAGGAGACACCTAGCTGAGAGGAAAGATAAGGAATTCAGTTTCAGACACTGAAGCAATACATTTTGATTAAGCACCTGATAGGAGCAGGGCACTCTGCTAGACAAAAGGTTTAAAAGAAATATAAAGTCACTGCCCTCATAGAACTTGCAGTCTAATGAGATAAACAATATATAAGTAACAACTACAGGTGGTAATGGGAGGTGCACCTGCCTAGAGTAATAAAGTGTTCAAACAAGGCCTGCTGAGTTTGAGGTGCTAGCATAACAGGTGGAGATTTCTGGCAAGCAGGTCCAGAGCTCAAGAGAAAAGTGTGAGCTGGAGGGGTAGATTCGGGCATCATTCCCTTCCTAGGGGAGATTGAGCCTCGAAGTGCACCGGATCCCCTAGAGAGGGTGATCAGAAGAGCCCCTGAAGATGGTCGAAGCAAGAGGAATCAATAAAGGAGGGAGGTGGGGAAGTGGTCAGAGAAGTAGGGCAAGGGAGGGGTGTGCCAAGCAGAGACAGGGCAGCAGCCACATCTAATGCTTCAAAGAGGCCTAGTAGGGGAAGGTTGAAAGATCCTTTGGGTTCAGGAACTAGACAATTACAAATTTTGAGAAAACAGTTTCCACTTACCAGAGGGGCAGAAATCACTTTACATAGGTTAAGGAATGAGTGGGAGGTGAGGAAAGGGAGGTGGTAGGTACAAAGTCATAGAATAGTGAATATGGAAGATAACTAAGAGTCATCTCTAATGCAACCCACGAATTTTACAGATGAGGAAAATGTTACCAGTTCCCAAAAAAGTGGGTAGTTAAGGGGGCTAGTCTCTTGAGACATCACACAGAAAAGGAAGGTGAGAGATGAAATGGCAGAGAGAAAAACAGAGTCCAGGGAAGGATTTTTTTTATTTTCAAGAAATAAAATTGAACGGGCGCCTGGGTGGCTCAGTCGTTAAGCGTTGGCCTTTGGCTCAGGTCATGACTTCAGGGTCCTGGGATCGAGCCCCGCATCCCTGCTCGGCGGGGAGCCTGCTTCTCCCTCTCCCATTCCCCCTGCTTGTGTTCCCTCTCTCGCTGTGTCTCTCTTTGTGAAATAAATAAAATCTTTAAAAAAAAAAAAAAAGAAAATTGAATATGTTTACAATGAAAGCACAGCGCATGAAGAGAGAAAGATACCGAAGATTTGAGGTGGGAAAGAATATGGTAAAGACACAGGAAGTGGAATACAGAGCACAGAGGATCTGCCTTGGACAGGAGAAGAGTCCTCAGAGTCAAAAGAAAAGAAAGATGGGGCGCCCGGGTGGCTCAGTCGGTTAAGCGTCTGCCTTTGGATCAGGTCATGATCCCAGGGTCCTGGGATTGAGCCCCATATCAGGCTCCCTGCTCAGCCCCAAGTCTGCCTCTCCTTCTGCCCCTCCCCCCGCTCATGCTCTCTCATTCACTCTCTCAAATAAATGAAAAAAATCTTTTAGGGGCGCCTGGGTGGCTCAGTTGGTTAAGCGACTGCCTTCGGCTCAGGTCATGATCCTGGAGTCCCGGGATCAAGTCCCGCATCGGGCTCCCTGCTCAGCAGGGGGTCTGCTTCTCCCTCTGCCCTCTTCCCTCTCGTGCTCTCTGTCTCTCATTCTCTCTGTCTCAAATAAATAAATAAAATCTTTAAAAAAAAATCTTTTAAAATAAATTAAAATTTAAATTAAAAAAAAAAAAGAGGGTGACTGGGTGGCTCAGTCATTACACGTCTGCCTTCGGCTCAGGTCATGATCCCAGGGTCCTGGGATCAAGCCCCACATCAGGCTCCCTGCTCGGCAAAGCCTGCTTCTCCCTCTCCCACTCCCCCTGCCTGTGTTCCCTCTCTCACTGTGTCTCTCTCCGTCAAATAAATAAAATCTTAAAAAAAAAAAAAAGATGAAATGTAAATAAAGTGAAGGAAAAAGAAGGAAGTGAAGAGATCAGCTCGGATGGCCTTAAGCTCAATGAAATACAGGACAGCTTCACCAACTGAGAGTAAAGAGGTGTAAGAGGCACAGAGATTTAGAACATCCCCTGCAGGAGTATAACAGGGAATCAAGAAAGAAAGATTGAGAAATACTGAGGGCTCTCTCAGGTTAAATGGCCAGGAGGAGCAGAAGGCCTCTTCTAGTGACATGACTCTCCTGCCAAGTGTGGCGACCTAGGAGAAAGCCCCAAGGATGAGACCATTGAGTTTACCCAAATCCAAGTTTTTTAAGGTTGTCTTGGTAGAACACCAAGTGACTCTAAAGTGCTAGTGAAGAGCTGTCTGGGTGGCTCAGTCGGTTAAGCACCTGACTATCGATTTTGGTTCTGGTCATGATTTCAGGGTCCTGAGGTCAAGCCCCACATTGGGCTCTGCCGTGGGCGTGGAGCTTGCTTAAGACTCTCGCCCTCTGCCCCTCCCCCCCCGCTCACTCGCTCTCTCCCCCCCCCCAAAAAAAACAAAAAAACAAAGTGCTAGTGAATGTAGTTGAAATTTTTGACCATGCAGTGCAAGTTAAACCAGATGGACAAGGCAAACAAGGAAAGAAGAGGGGTTGGAAGCCTTGGTGAGAATGGAGAACTAATTTGATGGGAGGAAAGAGTGGGGGGTGTGAAAAGTGAGTGGTGGTTGTGAGAGGGAAAATTCAGAGTTCAAGATCTCAAAGATATAGCCCTTCCAAGTGATGCTGAGGTCTGAGATACAACTTTACACAGGGGTGCCTAAACGGGAGCAGGGAAAGAGACTGGAAAGCTTTTGTAACTGAAAAAGTTGAAGCACTGAGAGGACAGTGTGAGACCATTCTGTGTGGTTTTGAAGTCTCTAAAGATGTTGGTGGGGATGAGATATGAAGAAAAACTGAGATAGATATAAAGTTGTTAAGAGTGTGATAAAGATGTTGGTGGAGAAGACTGCTGTGCAGATAGGAAGAGCATGGCAAATACAAAACGCATGGGCTTCAAGAAAAGAAAAGGAGGTTACCAATGGTGCTGAACAGTGGTCTCTCCTCTGCCCCCTGCCCCTTGAGATTGGAGAGAAGGAAGAGCAGCCTTCACCAAAGAGAAAAGGAGCAACATTAGGGTAAATCCAGGTTTCACAGTGCCAGAGGAAGACTCTTTCAAAAATGAGACAGAGAATTTGAATATATGAGGAGCTCCACAGCATACTGTGAAATGGATTGGTAGAACCGTCGTGTGGGGTAAGGAGTCTAATCCATGGAGGTTAGATCCCAGTGAGAGTTCAGGAGAAGAAGAAAAAGGCTGGAGGGTTTTGCTTCTGGAAACAGGGGGTTGCTGCTTCTGGAATTTAGAATGGAAGGTACATAGCATTTATTATGATGGAAAAAAAACATAAATACCCCAAAGGAGGTGTTAGGGGGATGCACAAGACAAAGCATGTCTTCTAGTTCCACGGCTTCAAATGCCCATCTTCATGCTGATGACTCCCAGTGTTGTCTCTCTAGCTCTGACCTTGCCTCTGAAAGCCAGACTCCTATCCAATTGCCAAGTGTCATCTCCACTTGGATGTCTGCCCAATGGATTTAGACTTAACATATTCAAAACTGAACTTTTGGTTCTCCCACGTCATCGGAATCCATGTCCCTCCCAGTTTCCCTATCATCCAACCCCCCCAAAAACCCATCCAATCTATCATCGAGTCCTATCAATTCTACCCCTGAAATATATCCCATATTTGTCTACTTCTCTCCAATTTCATGGCTGCCACCATCTTCTCTCCTATTGCTGCCATTGCCTCCTAATTGATGTCCCTGCTTTCATTCTTTCCTCCTACAATCCAGTCTAGATAAAATCTTTTTTTTTTAAGATTTTATTATTTATTTGAGAGAGTGAGCGAGAGAAAGCACAAGCAGGGGGAGTGGGAGAGGGAGAAGCAGGCTACCTGCTGAGTGGAGAGCCCGATGCGGGGCTCTATCCCAGGACCCTGGAATCATGACCTGAACCTAAGGCAGATGCTTAACGACTGAGCCACCCAGGCGCCCTAGACACGGGATCTTTTAAAAACATAAATCCGGGGCGCCTGGGTGGCTCAGTCATTAAGCGTCTGCCTTCGGCTCAGGTCATGATCCCAGGGTCCTGGGATGGAACCCCGCATCGGGCTCCCTGCTCCGCAGGAGGCCTGCTTCTCCCTCTCCCTCTCCCCCCGCTTGTGTTCCCTCTCTCGCTGTATCTCTCTCCGTCAAATAAATAAACAAAATCTTAAAAAACAAACAAACAAACAAACATAAATCCGGGGCGCCTCGGTGGCTCAGAGGGTTAAGCGTCTGCTTTCGGCTCAGGTCATGATTCCAGGGTCCTGGGATCAAGTCCTGCATCGGGCTCCCTGCTCAGCGAGGAGCCTGCTCCTCCCTCTTCCTCTGCCTGCCGCTCTGTCTACTTGTGCTCTCTCTCTCTGTGTCAAATAAATAAATAAAATCTTAAAAAAATAATAAAAATAAAAACATAAATCCAATCACCTCTGCCTCACTCCTCTCTGTCCTCCTCCTCCCCCCCTTCCCTCCTTATACACACACACACACACACACTGACACCCTCCAAAGTCTTCCCCATGGTTGAATAAAAGCCAGATGCTTTCTTTCTCCTTGAACGGTCCTGCGTGATCTGGCTCCTGCCTCCTCTCTCTGACCTCATCCCCCACCCGCTCCTGCTCTCTCTGTTCCAGCCGCGCCAGCTTCTTTTCTGTTCCTCAACACCCCCAGCTCATTTCTACCTTCCAGCCTTTGCAGTAGCTGTTCCTTTTGCCTGGAATGCTTCTCCCCTACACCTTCACCTGGTCACTCTTACTTGTCATTTGGGTCTCAGCTTAAATGCCACTTAGAGAGGACTTCCTGACCACTGTGTCTAAGGTAGTTCTCTGCCACTCCTCACATGCCCTGTATTGTTTCCTCCTAGCACTACTTACTGACTTCTGTGTATTTCCTTTCTGCCTTGCCTTATGAGGATGTCTGATTTGTTTGCCTCTATATCCCTATTGCCTAGAACAGTGCCCAGCACATAGTAGGCACTCAATAAAAACTTAAATGGGGGCAAAGAAAAAAAAACCTTAAACGAAGACATGGATGAATAATGGGATAAAACAGGAGAAAGCTCATCTTTAGATTTGTGGCTTAGATTGGATTTACCTTTAGAGTCAGGTTTAACTATAGAGTTGGGGGTGGGGATGAGTTGATTTCAAAATTAGCTGTAGGGAACAAGATTGGTTTAGTTTAGAGGATAAGTTTATTTTCAGGTTTATTTATTGGAATGTGTTTAGATTTGAGGTTAGGGTTGGGTAGTTTGAGTTACGATTTGGGTTGAGGTTAAATTTGAGTTAGGTTCAAAGTTAGTATTAATCCCAATATAGGTTCTGAGGCTAAGTTCAAGTTTGAAGCTAATGTCATTTCAATCTCATTTAGAGGCCTCAGAAATTTCACTAGTTTCTCCACAGAGCCCACTGTAGAGACTGTATTTCCCTGAGTTTGGGGCTCAAGACTCTAGTCATCACCCCTCCCACCCAGGGAAAGCCCCAAACCAACTGCTGGCCTCTCCAAGAAAGAAACTGAATTTCACACAACCTCCGAAACTGAGATTGAAACCAAGATTGGCCCATCTCAAGGAGCGTCCTTCAGCACATCACAAACGCCTGTGACACTGAGCCTCAGCCCAGTTCTTGCCCTTCCTTCCTCTCTTTCTCTCATGTCTCCCTGTCACTCTTTCTCACCTTCCCCTTTTTGTTCCTCAATGCCCTGTCTTCCCCTGACCTAAGTTTCTCCCTTTCTTGGTTTCTCATCGTTAATTGCAACACTGTTTTATATTTTAATATAACTGAGGTCGCTTAGTCCATCAGCTCCTACCATTAGAGAGGCAGAAAGAGACAACAGGAAGGAAAAGGAACCCCAGAGAAAGAGAGACACAGAGAAAAGAAAAGGAGCAGGGCCCAAGAGGGAAACCAACAGTGACATAAGAGACCATAGGTTAAAAGAATAAGAAGAAGCCAAGCTATAGACCAAGATATTTTTTAAAAGATATATTTATTTAGGGGCACCTGGGTGGCTCAGTCAGTTAAGTAATTGCCTTCTGCTCAGGTCATGATCCCAGGGTCCTGGGATCAGATCCCTGCATCAGGCTCCCTGCTTGGCGGGGAGTCTGCTTCTCCCTCTACCCCTCCCCTGCTCATGATCTCTCTCTCTCTCAAATAAATAAAATGAAATCAGAAAAAGATTTATTCATTTATTAGAGAGCACATGCAAGAGCTTGGAAGGGACAGAGAGAGAAGGAGAGAGAGAATCTCAAGCAGAATCCCCACAGAGCGTAGAGCCCAACATGGGGCTTGGGGCTCAATATCATAACCCTGAGATCATGACCTGAGCCGAAAGAGTTGGATGCTTAACTGACTGAGCCACCCAGGCGCCACTAGACCAAGATATTTAAAGGAGGCATCGGTGGCTACTCCTCCTCCATCACATCTGCTCAGCCCCACCCCTGTAGATTTTGCCTAGAAACTCTCGTCCTTTCCATCCTCCTGCTGCTGCCTCAATGTAAATGTAAGCTCTTGTCATCTCCTTGCTGGTTATTGCACAACTTTCCTAACTGGTCTCCACCTTCTGCTTTTCCCTCCAGCCCCTCACTCCCATACCCCAAACCACTCTTCATGCAGCTTCCAGACTCATTTTTCTGATGTACCAATCTGCATGAGTCCCTCTCTCGCTTAAAAATTTTGGTGACTCCCCATCATAATTAGAATGAAATCCAAACTTCTTTTCTTGGTTTTAAGCCCTTCAGAATGGGGGCGCTCAGGTCATGATCCCGGGGTCCTGGGATTGAGCCCCACATCGGGCTCCCCTGCTCAGTGGAGAGCCTGCTTCTCCCTCTCCCTCTGCCTGCCGCTCCCCCTGCTTGTGCTCTCTCTCTCTCTCTGTCAAATAAATAAATAAAAATCTTTAAAAAATAAATAAATCCTTCAGAATGCGTTCTCAGCTTAACTCCCAAGCCTCATCTCTGCTCCTTCTATTTGTACCCAAACTGTAAATAAAGTGAAGGAAAAAGAAGGAAGTGAAGAGATCAGCTCGGATGGCCTTAAGCTCAATGAAATACAGGACAGCTTCACCAACTGAGAGTAAAGAGGTGTAAGAGGCACAGAGATTTAGAACATCCCCTGCAGGAGTATAACAGGGAATCAAGAAAGAAAGATTGAGAAATACTGAGGGCTCTCTCAGGTTAAATGGCCAGGAGGAGCAGAAGGCCTCTTCTAGTGACATGACTCTCCTGCCAAGTGTGGCGACCTAGGAGAAAGCCCCAAGAATGAGACCATTGAGTTTACCCAAATCCAAGTTTTTCAAGGTTGTCTTTTTTTTTTTTAATATTTTATTTATTTATTTGACACAGAGAGACTCAGAGAGAGAGGGAACACAAGCGGTGGGGGGGGGGGGGGGGGGAGAGGGAGAAGCAGGCTTCCCGTGGAGCAGGGAGCCCAATGTGGGGCTCGATCCCAGGACCCTGGGATCATGACCTGAGCCAAAGCAGACGCTTAACTGACTGAGCCACCCAGGTGCCCCACACATGGCCAAGTGATTCTAAAGTGCTAGTGAAGGACTGCCTGGGTGGCTCAGTCAGTTAAGCACCTGACTATCTATTTTGGTTCTGGTCATGATTTCAGGGTCCTGAGGTCAAGCCCCACATAGGGCTCTGCCCTGGGCATGGAGCTTGTTTAAGACTCTCTCCCTCACCATCCCGCCCTGCTCAGGCTCTCTCTCAACACTTAATGCCTGACACCCCTCTCCCAGGCTAAGTTCAATGACTTTTCTATGGACTGCCTTAAGGCCATCGTCACACTTTATTCTAATTATCTGCTAACTTTCCTGTCTTCCACGCTGGTTTTGAGTTCCCAGAGGGCATGGGAACTGTCTTTCACATCTGTATCCTCAATACCTTGTACAAGGTCCTCAATAAACGTTTCTGAAATAGAGAGAAAGCTAAAGAGGTGGAAGGAGAATGAAAAGAAACAATAGTCTTATCGGCCTCGGAAGGCATGAAAGGCAAAGGGCCTCAAGAAAGGGGAGGAAAGCAGGAGAAATGGCTCATACACACCCTGAATGTTACTTATGTGCCACAGGACCCCAAGACCACTCAGAAACGCTTTTCCAGAGAACAGCCATATGCCCAATGCCACGGTGGCGGGGGGGCGGGGGGGAGGGAAGGGCTTTAGCTTTTCAAAACCCTCAAAATGAAAGCATACCAACATCAATAAAAATAATCATGAGATTTGAGATGGCCAATTTTCTCAATCTTCTGAAACATGGATAAAATCATCTTTAGAAACCTTTTTTTTTAACTTACAAATTAAGTAAAAACTGGCTCAGGGCGCCTGGGTGGCTCAGTCGGTTAAGCGACTGCCTTCGGCTCAGGTCATGATCCCAGGGTCCTGGGATCGAGTCCCACATCAGGCTCCCTGCTCCGCGGGGAGCCTGCTTCTCCCTCTCCCACTCCCGCTGCTTGTGTTCCCTCTCTCGCTGTGTCTCTCTCTGTCAAATAAATAAATAAAATCTTAAAAAAAAAAAAAAACTGGCTCATTTTTAAGAATGTTCATATCAACATCTTTCATAGTAGCCAAAAACTAGAAACAAACCAAACGTCTATCAACAGAAGAATGGGTAAATAAGAGAGTATATTCACACAATAAACTTACATCATGATAAAAAAAAAATACTGATAAATGCAACCACATGGATGAATCTCAGAAAGATCATGTCGAGTGAAAGAAGCCAAATCCAAACAGTACATTCTGTGTGACTTCATTTATATGACATTCAAAAGCAGGAAAAACTAATCTATGGTGATAGAGGTCAGAAAGTGGTTGGTTATCTTTGGAGGGTATCAACTGGGAGAGGGGCATGAGAGAACCCTCTGGGGACCTGAAAATATGTTGAACTGAGTGGTGGCTACATGGCTATAAACAGATGGAAAAGCTCACCAGGCTGTAAACTTAAGAGACATGCGCCTTACTGTACGTAAGTTAAAAGGGGGAAATCTTAAACAGTATTCTGGCTCTGCAATCGCAGCTTCCAGATAAGTCCTTTGCTTGTCCCCACCCTATCCTAGCTCACCACCCTCAAGCTCCTCCTGTGTGAAATTCCAAAGCCTTCCCTGTAGAGAGCTTTGGAAATTGCTACATTCCTCGATCCCAGAGTGTGTGTTTGTTTGGGGTTATATAAATCTGACCTGGGGCACCTTGGTGGCTCAGTCAGTTAAGCGTCTGCCTTCGGCTCAGGTCATGATCCCGGGGTCCTGGGATCGAGTCCCACATCGGGCTCCCTGCTCAGGGGGGAGTCTGCTTGGAATTCTCCCTCTCCCTCTCCTGCCCCTCCCCCCCAAATTAACAAATAAATAAACAAAATCTTTAAAAACATAATCTGATCTGTGGAGGCCACCTGAGGACATCCTTCAGGAGTGAGATGAGACCTCAGCATACTTAAGTGCATGGCAACATCTCTCAGTAGGGGAACCATGACATTTATCTTCCCATCCAGGACACTTGTGATAACAAAAGGGAGATCCATGAACATTTTCACCAGGACAACAAGCATAAACCAGAATGTCCAGGGCAAAGGTGTATATAAGGCAACTTCTTGATAGAAAACCTGCCAGACGACCAGGAAAGTACACATACTGGGACGAGGGTGACTTGAACCATTTGGGACAAGGATGGGGGTAGAAGAGGAGGAAATGGGCACAGAGAGTAGCCTGTAATCAACCAAGGGTGCAGAGGTGTTATATATAATCACTCTTCAGGGAACCGGGCCTCCAGCCCACGCCCCAGCTGCTCCCCCACCCCCTCCTCCCCGAATTGACTGTCCCTTCTCTGGAACTCCTAAGCCTGACCCTGCTCCCTGGCCCTCCCAGCCCACGGTTCCCCTGACCCCGCTCCCTTTCCCAGAACTCAGTCGTCTGAGCCCCCAGCCTGTGGTTCACTCCTGGGCCTCAGCCTTTCCTGCCTTCGACTGAAACGGCAGCATCTTCTCAGCCCTGGGGGCTTCCCCGGGGCCCAGCCCGGGGCCTAGAACCCGCCCGCCGCCTGCCACGCCGCCACGCTGCCACCGCCGCTTCCTCTATAAAGGGACCCAGGCGTCCAGGCCCAGGGGCCCCGCACAGCAGGTGAGACTCTCCCGGCCAGTCTCCTCCTCGGGCTGCCCGGCGCTGGACTCCCCTGGGCACTCCGCCCCTCCGCCCGCGCCGCGGCCCCTCCCGTGCCGCCTGCCTGGGCCCGGGCCTCGGTGGGTTCCGAGCGGTTTGCTCCCCTCTCTCGGAGTCTTCATCAGCCAGTCTTTGTTCTCTCTGTCTCTGTCACACGTTCTCTGTTTCTGCCACGATCCCCCTCTGTTCCCTTCTCGTGTCTGTTTCTCTTTCTGTGCCCCCCTGCTCACATTGGGGGGTTTTCCGGCCTGCACCTTGTCCCCTTCTCTCCTCTGTGGCCCTGGCTCTCCCGTGGCTGTCTCCGCGGGCAGGAGGCCCGTCACCGCCCCGGCCCCGCCCCGCTCACTGTCTCTCTCCCCGCAGGTTCTCCCCATGACACCACCTGGACGGCTCTACCTCCTGAGGGTGTGCAGCGCCCCCCTCCTCCTCCTTCTGGGGCTGCTGCTGGCCTTGCCGCCTGAGGCCCAGGTGAGGCAGCAGGAGAATGGGGGCTGCAGGGGTGGCCCCACCAAACTTTGGGCCCTAGAGCCATGCTCCACCCTCTTGTCCCCTAGGGGCTTCCTGGTGTGGGCAGCTCACCCTCAGCTGCCCGGACTGCCTACCAGCACCCTCAGAAGCACTTCGCACCAGGCACCCTCAAACCTGCTGCTCATCTTATTGGTAAACCTCACCTGACTGCCCCGACATGTCGCCCCCAGCTCTCCTCCTACACCCCCTTCAAGGGACCAAGCATCTATTGCACCTCTCCCCCAGCTCCCCCCACCCCCCAGAACAGAGGTATCCCACTCCCATCTGTCCTCCCAGCCATCCCCCAGGAACTCGGCCCAGCACCTACATCCTCAGGGATTAAGAGTGCTGACCCCCAGGTTCTCAACCTCTCCCATCCCTCTGGCTCTTCCTAGGAGACCCCAGCACCCAGAACTCACTTCGCTGGAGAGCAAACACGGATCGTGCCTTCCTCCGCCATGGCTTCTCTTTGAGCAACAATTCCCTCCTGGTCCCCACCAGTGGCCTCTACTTTGTCTACTCCCAGGTGGTCTTCTCTGGGGAAGGCTGCTTCCCCAAGGCCACCCCCACCCCTCTCTACCTGGCGCATGAGGTCCAGCTCTTCTCCTCCCAGTACCCCTTCCACGTGCCTCTCCTCAGCGCTCAGAAGTCCGTGTGCCCAGGGCCACAGGGACCTTGGGTGCACTCCGTGTACCAGGGAGCTGTGTTCCTGCTCACCCAGGGAGATCAGCTCTCCACTCACACAGATGGCCTCTCCCACCTACTCCTCAGCCCCAGTAGTGTCTTCTTTGGAGCCTTTGCTCTGTAGAAAAATCCAGAAAGAAAAATAATTGGTTTCAAGACCTTCTCCCCATTTTGCCTCCATTCTGACCACTTCAAGGGTCACCGCACCTCTCTTTTGATCCTTCCAATAGCCTCAAGTCTCCCCTGCTCGTGTTACCTGGCGCTTCCAAAGAAGGAATTCTAGGCACCCCAGGGGACCATACCTCCTTTCAGCAAACCTCAATGCTAGGCTGAGGATTTCAAGTCTGCCTAGAAATTCCTGCCCAGAGCTCTTCATCTGTCCTGCCGTCAAAGGAGGACCTAGCCCTGGACATGGAGTGGTCAGACACCAGGAGGAGCTTGGGAGGATGACAGAGAGGCAGGGGAGGGGGAATTATTTATGCAGGGAAAGACTTAAATTATTTATTTATGGAGGATGGAGAGAAGGGAATAACAGAGGGCCACCAGAAGAGAGAGAAATATGCCCAAGAGATGAAGAGCAAGAGAACATCGGCGTAAGGATAACACAGTGAAAGAGAAGACAAGTGGGGCTGAGACACCAGGGAGCTCTAGAAGGAAGCAAAAGACTCTTCAGATCCAGCCACTGCTTGACTAAACACCCCGTGAGGAGACATCTGCACCTTCGATGAAGCCCAATAAACCTCTTTTCTCTGAAATACCGTCTATGTCTGTCTGTCTGTCTGGGAGGGGAGAATTTCCCAGGTCTCTAAAAAATGGAAGGAGGACAGGGGCTTCAGAAGAGACAGGAACTGTGGACTACAAGGAGATGAAGGGGCCTTAGGAACTCCGGGGAAATGTGGCGGAATCACAGAGGTGAGGCAGCCAGACCACGGCAGGGAAACCAAAGGATAAGCTGGGAAGAAAAAGGTAAAATGGGGGTCCAAGGTCTGGAGGAGTGGAAGTCGGGACCACTGGCAAATATGGCCACGTGTAGAGAGGCTCTGAGGAATGGGGGTTACAGGAGTCCTCTGGGCAGAAGTGACCACACCAAAGGGTGTTTGGGACTATGGGGGTGGACATGGGGACCCTCTGGAAGAATGGAGTGGGAGACCCCCAAGGCTGGGGGGCTGGGGAATACAGGAGACGTTTCAGGAGACACGGTCACACAGAGAGACTCTGAGAGCTAGGGCTATCTCCAGAAATCTGGAGGGCACTAGAGTTCTTTGGGATACATGGCTACACACAAGGGCTCTGACAGATGGGGCCTTCATGCAAAACTCAGGGCCTCAGATTCCCTTGGAAGCCAAGACTGAAACCAACACTGCTGAGTCCCTGGTCAGAATGAAAGGAGAAGGCCTGCCCTCATGGGGTTCGTGAATTCCCAAGGTTGCTTTCGCTCCCACTGGGGCTGTCCCAAGCGTGTCCCTGCCATTTACCGCCCTCTCCCCAGCCCTTTCAGAGACCCCATCCACATCTCCCGCCTCAAGCTCCCTTCTCTCAAGCTCCTTTTTCCCCCAGGGACCCAAACACATGTCTCAGGACCCAGCATAGTTTTCCCCCCACCTTTTCTCCCCATCAAGGCGATGGTTTTCTGAAGCCCCTCCCACGTCTAGCTCTACACCTACCTAAGTCCAGTCTGGAAATCAGAGGAAAACAGGCCACAGACCTGAGCCTCAAAAAAAAAAAAAAAAGGAGGGAATGGGAATTGGGGGCAGAGGGAAACTGGGGTCCAGCCTCCAGGGTCCTACATACATCGCAGTGACTGGCCCAGCAAGCTTCCCTCAGAATCCGAGTGGGGAGGGTAGGAAGTATCCTTGATGCCTGGGTGTCCCCAACTTTCCAAACCCCCGCCCCCGCGATGGAGAAGAAACCGAGACAGAAGGTGTAGGGCCCACTACCGCTTCCTCCAGATGAGCTCATGGGTTTCTCCACCAAGGAAGTTTTCCGCTGGTTGAATGAGAGCCTTTCCCCGCCCTCTTCTCACCCCATGGGTATATAAATGCAGCTGTTTGCACACCCAGCCAGCAGAAGCTCCCTCAGCGAGGACACCAGGGCACCAGCCAGGAGAGAGAGAAGCAACTGCAGACCCCCTGGAAATAACCTCTCAGACGACACACCCCCAGACAAGCAGCCAGGCGATTCTTTCCCTCTAATACACACTGCCCCAGGGCTCTACCATCTCCCAGCTGGACCCGAGCCCCTCTGGGAAGAACGCCATGAGCACTGAAAGCATGATCCGGGACGTGGAGCTGGCCGAGGAGGCACTCCCTAAGAAGGCAGGGGGCCCCCAGGGCTCCAGAAGGTTCTTGTGCCTCAGCCTCTTCTCCTTCCTCCTCGTTGCAGGAGCCACCACGCTCTTCTGCCTGTTGCACTTCGGAGTGATCGGCCCCCAGAGGGAAGAGGTGAGTGCCCCACCAGACTCGGCTCGTTCTCGGGGGTTCGGGGAAAGAGGTGTGCTGATGGGGACCGGTGAGAGAGAAAACATGGAGAAAGATGGGGAGGCAGAAAGAGACATGGAGAGAGATGGGGGAAGAGAGAGAGGGAGGGAGCCCACAGAAGGTGCTCACTGAATGCTTCTTGAATGAACGAATGAGCCCGCAGACATATGGAAAGAGAGATGTGTGGAGAGATGTGGGGAGAGAGATGGGAACAGAACAAGTGATATGAATAAAGATGGTGAGACAGAAAGATGTGGACAGTATGAGAGAGAGATAAGGAGAGATGTGAGGAAAGAGATAAGGAAAGATGAAGATAGGGTGTCCGGCTCGTGGAGAACACTCAGTGAGAGTGTTGTGGAATGACTGAATGGTGAGAGAAAACTAGAGTACGAGCTACAGAAGCAGCCTGGCTGTTTCTCGTTCAGGGGTGACTTGCTCTGATGCTAAACCTCCTTCTCTCCAACAGCTCCCAGATGGCCTCCAACTAATCAACCCTCTGGCCCAGACAGTCAGTAAGTGTCTCCAAAGCCTTTCTCCTGATTCTGGGCTTGGGTGGGGGGGCGGGGGTGGTCCTAGGATAGCAGCAGTGGGGGAAATTCAGGGTTTTGGTTTGAGGGGAGAGGGCATGGAGGTCAAAGTAGCAGGATCTTTCCCAGGAAGCTTAAGGGTCTCACCTTTTTCTTTCTTCTTTCCTCCTCAGAATCATCTTCTCGAACTCCAAGTGACAAGCCTGTAGCTCATGTTGTAGGTAAGAGCTCTGAGGATTCAGCTGGGGGGCAGTGAAGCAGATAGGATGTGGAGGGATAGGATTTGGGGGCTGAACTCAGGCTGAGGGTAGACAGACCTTGGAGATGGTATGAGAAGGACTCACTGGCCTTGAGGGGGATACTCAGAACCTCATGGCCAGATGGGAAGTGGGAAGACCGACAGAGGGGACAGGAACCGGATGTGGGGGGGTGGGCAGAACTTGAGGGCCAGGATGTGGAGAGTGGAACTGACAGGGTCACACTGACTCACCCCTCCCTCCTTCTCTCCTCCCCTCCAGCAAACCCCGAAGCTGAGGGGCAACTCCAGTGGCTGAGCCGGCGTGCCAATGCCCTCCTGGCCAATGGTGTGGAGCTGACAGATAACCAGCTAATAGTGCCATCAGACGGGCTGTACCTCATCTACTCCCAGGTCCTCTTCAAGGGCCAAGGATGCCGTTCCACCCATGTGCTCCTCACCCACACCATCAGCCGCTTCGCCGTCTCCTACCAGACCAAGGTCAACCTCCTCTCTGCCATCAAGAGCCCTTGCCAAAGGGAGACCCCAGAGGGGACTGAGGCCAAGCCCTGGTACGAGCCCATCTACCTGGGAGGGGTCTTCCAACTGGAGAAGGGTGATCGACTCAGCGCTGAGATCAACCTGCCTGACTATCTCGACTTTGCCGAGTCCGGGCAGGTCTACTTTGGAATCATTGCCCTGTGAGGGGGCGGGACATCCATCCTTGCCCATCTCAACCCCTTTATTATCTACTCCCTCTGACCCCCCTCATCCCCTTCTGGCTTAGAAAGAGAATTAGGGGCTCAGGGCTGGGCCCCAAGCTTAGAACTTTAAACAACAACACTTAGAAACCTAAGATCCAGGGATGTGTGACCCGGACACTGGAGCATTGGCCCCTACCAAGAATGCAAACTGGGGCTTCCAGCGCTCACTGGAGACCTCAGGTTTGGATCCCTGAACGCAACCTGGAACACTTGGAATGTGGGAGTCAGGGAACCTTTAGTTCTGGCTAGAACACTTCAGAATGTCCCTTGAGAAGATCTCACCTAGAACCTGACGTGAGTGGACCTCAGGCATCCCTTTCTTTAAATGTTTCCAGACTCTTCCTGAGAAGGAAAGCCCAGCCCCTCCCACATGGGGCCAGCTCTCTCTATTTATGTTTGCACTTGTGATTATTTATTATTTATTTATTATTTATTTATTTACTGATGAATGTGTATTTATTTGGGAGGTTGGGGTGTCCTGGAGACCAAATGTAGGGGCTGCCTTGGCTCAGACATGTTTTCTGTGAAAACGGAGCTGAACTCTAAGGCTGTTCCCACCTGGCCTCCTGGCCTCTGTGCCTCCTTTTGCTTACGTTTTTCAAAAATATTTATCTGATCCAGTTATCTAAATAATGCTGATTTGGTGACTGACTGTCGCTACATCGCTGAACCTCTGCTCCCCAGGGGAGTTATGTCTGTAACCGCCCTACTGGTCAGTGGCGAGAAATAAAACGTGCTTAAAAAAGAAACACGGTCTCTTTCTTGGAGTTAATTCTGCATCTTCCTCTCCTTGGGGGTGGGAGGCCACTCCCTAAAGTCCTCTCTCTACAAGCCTGAACCTAGGGCACCTGGGTGGCTCAGTGGGGTGGGCGTCTGACTCTTGATTTTGGCTCAGGTCATGATCTCAGGCTGGTGGGATGGAGCCCCTGAGTCTCAGCTGGGAGTCTGCTTCTCTCCCTCTCTCTCTGCCCCTCCCTCGGCTCACTCGCACATGCACGCTCTCTCTCTCAAATAGATGAATATATCTTAAAAATAAAAAAATCCCTGAACCCATAAAATAAATACAAATAAAAGTTAAAAAAAAAAAGATCCCTGAACACAGTTCCCACTCGGGGGACTACTGGGGCTCAGGAGACCTTGCATATAACAAAGCCCGGGCAAATAGGCCCTTCCCCCAGGAAACTGGAGCCTGAACCTAATACCTCTCCCTCAGGGCGTGGGAATTTCCGACTCTGGGAATTCCAATGGGGAAGTCCTGCACCTCAAGTGTCAGGTGAGATTTCCTGCTGTTCCTGCTGTTGCAGCCTGCAAGAGAGAGTCTGGGAAGGGCCACATTCTCAGGCACCTGAATCACAGCCAAAGGACTTCCAGACCTTCAGGCATCAGGGCCCCAAATCGCCGGATCCCAGGCTCCCCCAGCAGCCCTAACTGTACAACCTGAATCAGTTACTGAGCCTCATCTCCCCATGAAGGCAGGCCCACCCCCCCCGCATATGGGGCCACAAGAGAATAGAAGGCCTAAGCTAAATCAGAGCACCCAGCATAGCACTCGGCAGAGTAAGCACTCAGTGAACTCTGACTTTCTTCCTTTGTCCAGCCACCAGCCATTCTATCTGCTTCCGTCTCTCAGTGAGTGGAATTGAAGAGACGAAAGAAAATTTAAAAACAGGAATAGGATGCGAGTGAAGGACTCACAAGCCAACTCTCACATATGTTCTTGGTGAATGATGAGGGGAGGGTCATGAGCTAGATGGGCTGGAAAGAGAAAAGCACCCTCTCTCCTCAGGAAAGTTCTTCTGGACACAGAGTCACACACAAATATGGAGTCAGAAATGAAGACCCAGGGACGCCTGAGTGGCTCAGTTGGTTAAGGTCTGCCTTTGGCTCAGGTCATGATCCCAGGGTCCTGGGATCGAGCCCCGCAACAGGCTCTCTGCTCAGCGGGAAGCCTGCTTCTCCCTCTCCCGCTCCCCCTGCTTGTGTTCCCTCTCTCACTGTCTCTCTCTGTCAAATAAATAAATAAAATCTAAAAAAAAAAGGGGGGGGCGCCTGGGTGGCTCAGTTGGTTAAGCAACTGCCTTCGGCTCAGGTCATGATCCTGGAGTCCCGGGATCGAGTCCCGCATCAGGCTCCCTGCTCAGCAGGGAGTCTGCTTCTCCCTCTGACCCTCCTCCCTCTCATGCTCTCTGTCATTCTCTCTCTCGCAAATAAATAAAATCTTTAAAAAATAATAAAATAAATAATAAAAGAAAAGAAATGAAGACCCAGAGAGTGGGAGTCCCCACCGGGTTCCGAAGTTGGGCTTTCCTTCCTGCCAGGCTGCTGGGCAGGGGAAAATTGTGTGGTATGCCGCAGGGGTGGGATGACCCACTGGGGTGACCTAGATAGGGCCTTGGGTCCCTCTCTGCCTCCCTCAGTCTGGAGCTGAAAGTCGGTCATGGGGTGCTTGGGGTGAGGGGGCTGCTGTTACTCACCCTTGGGCCCCCACACCTGCCAACGTGCGGAAAGCGGACCCGAGGGGTGAACAAGGGGTGAAGACGTTCCATCTCACCCTGCATAAGGCCAAGGGCCCCAGACTTTCTCCCTCTCCTCCCCAGCTTTGCCCTGGTGTCCCAGGCCCTATCTTTTGGCCTCCTCCCTCACACCCAATGAGCTGTGTGTTCTTCCTTGGAGGACAGTGGATTGTGGGATAGTGGCTAAAGGGGTTTTCAGGCAGCCAGGCAGGCAGCAGGGAAGAAGTGCTAGGCCCTCAGGGCTTTACTCCTTCTCCCCAGCCTGGTTCCTCAGAACAGGGCTGGCCTTCCCCTGTCAGGATTCCTGTCACTGATGGGAGGGACCCAAGAGAAAAGAATGCAGGTAGAGTCTGGTGAGGACTCGGAGGATCTGCGAAGGAGGAGGCTTGGAGATGCTTTGGGGTTTGAGGGAGATCCCCTTCTTCTACCTTCCCACTGGACTAATGCTGGGGCAAGTTCATTCAGAGCTAGGAGGTGGGTGGGAAACGAGCAGATCTCCTTCTCAGAGGGCAGAGGCCATAGGAAGTGGTGTGAATTGTTTCGAGCAACCAGAATTAGAGACTATGTAACGGCCCCTCGCGTACCCACCCTGAATCAAGACATGTGAGCACCTGGACGCCCGTGTTCGGCACCACTAAAGCTGCTTTACATTCTTTATTTTCTTCAGGCTCGCCATCAGTTTGCAGTCTCCTGCATTTTCCCCACTGCCACGGGGTCCCTGGAGTCTGGGTCCCCAATATCTCGGCTGAGTCACACGTCCCTACCAGGCAGTCGTTGATCCCCGCCCTCACCCCACCATCACCGCCCCGAAGAAGGTCTTCCCTCTCCTGTAGTCCACCATATCGGGGTGACTGATGTTGACGTACACCCTCTCGCCCCTCCGGAGCTGCACCAGGCCGCCGAAGCCCACACTCGTGTACCAGAGGGGCCCGTACTCGCGCGTCCGGGCCGGGTCCAAGACCGGGGTGACGGTCTCTGCGCCCTCGAGCAGGAGCTCGGGCGTCCCCGGCCCATAGGCGCCCCCCGCCCGGTACAGCCGGCTGCGCAGCGTGACCGAACGGTCCGGCAGGCCCCCGCCGGCAGGGGGCGCCCGGCCCCGGTAGCCGACGTGACAGTAGAGGTAGTAGAGGCCGTCCTGCGGGAGCGCCAGACCCTCGGCGCCCGAGAACTGCGTCCCGCTCCTCAGAAACGCCTCTTCTTTCTTCGCCTCCCAGCCTAGCCCCTGCCCCTTCGTCCAAGCGCCTGCGGAGAAACGGGGGCCCGTCGGCGCTCGGGAAGCCGATCCTGGGGGAAGGATCCAGGCCCGGGACTTCCGAGAGGGTGAGTAGGAGGGAGAGTGGGGGCTCTTAACCCCCTGCAGGAGCCGAGCCGGGGGCGGGGCGAGGGCGCGCGGCGCCCCCTCTGCAGTGTTTTGGGGGAGGGGACCAAGGGCACCCGAGTGTGGGGTGCGGAGCGCGGTGGTGGGGCGGTGGGGAGATCCAGGCAGGGTTTTGACAGCTCCAGGAGGGAAGCAAGAAGATGGATTGCGGGAGGAGCGGAAGGTGGGCACTTTAGGGACCAGAGGTGGTGAAGCAGGTCGGAAACCGAGCCCTGCAATGACAGAGCAAAGGGACTCTAACTGTGGGCTGCAGCGCCGGTCCCTTGGACTACCTATGAGATCCTTACCTATGAGGTGGGCGGCTGGGAGCCTGGAGCTGAAATCTGTTTCTGCCTCCTCCTCTGGCAGCTCCTGTGACCCTGGAAGGGGGGAAGAGTCCACTATTGGCGGCCAGGGCGGCCTTCCATGCATGGTCCCCCTGAGAGGACAGGGCGCCAGGGCGGGATTCCCGGGGATGCAGATGGATGGGAGCTGGGCATTCCTGAAGGGCTGGAGCAGGGGAGGGGGGAGATGGTCTGCTCTTACCCAGTCGTTGCTGGGCCTGGGCCTGTGCCCCCGGGTCAGTCGTCCCTGTTACCTGGGGGGTGGGGTCACAGTGCCCAGAGTTCAGTGTTGGCTGATGCCCACCCCACCCCTCCCAATGCAGACCCAAGCTCCAGGCCTGGGGTCTTTCCTACCAGTCCCACCCCCAACACACATCTCCCTGGGAGGGAGAGCAAGCGAGGCACATGTACTCAGAGACGGGGGCCTGAGTATGTCTTGGGAAGAGGCGAAGAGACAGCCAGACAACCAGGAAGGAGCTTGGAGCTTTCAGGACACAACAGCATCGCGGGGACAGTGGAAAGAGGACCAGCAAAGAGGCAGACAAGGCATCCCCACCAGGGACAGCCAAGCCAACTGAGCAGGATGAGACAAGAGAGCCCCAGGCGTAGCTAGAGGCAAGTGAGCATCAGCAGCACGCAACCCCTGCAGGGCTGGTTGCAGCTACTCACCAGTCCTCGTCCCTGCTCCTGGGGCACCAAGGCCAGCACAGCCAGGACAGTGATAGGCACAGCCAGCAGCAGGGTCACCAGGGAAGTGGCTCCCGCCACAGCCAGCAGGAGGCAGCCCTTCCCCTGGGGCCTCCTACCCCGGCCCTCTAGCCCCAGTGCCCCCATTGAGACTGAGCCAGGACCAGGGCAGGGGGGCTTTCATACCTCAGGGGTGGGGCCACCCCCTCCCCATAGACCCACACACCTGGCTGGGACTTTCCGCACACCCCTGCTCCCCTCACCCAGCTTCCTGTTTACCCAGAGCTGGGGTGGGGCAGCTGGATGCCCGGGTTCTCTGAACTGGGGAAGAAGTTGGGGTGAAGTGACAGGCTTGTAGGGCAGAGCTGGAGGGAGCCTTAGAGATCTGGTTCAGCAGGGAGGGAAACTGAGGCCCAGGGAGGGAAGGTAGCTTACAGAGAGTCAGGCAGCAGAACGGCGCGAGGAGAACACCGCACACCAGATTTCCAGAGCAGTCTGCATTCTTCTACACCCCAGTGGTGGGTGCTGGGAAGGAGGGCTGTGTCCACGTCCCTGAGGTCAAGGGCTGGAAGAGGACAAGAACTGAGGTCTTGAGAGATGGATATCCAGGTCCTTGAGAAGAACTTAAGCCAGCACTAGACCAAATCTCCTCCTTCCATTCCCTCATTCACCCCTAACCCCCAGAACTTGGTGAGAAGCAGAGTTAAGCCAGTCCACAGAAATAGCAACTGAAAGGGGCCTCAGCCTCCCCACTGACCATTGACTCACTGAGGAGGGATGGAAATGAGCATTACCTCCCTTGCTCCACAGAGGGTAGATGGGAGAGCAATAGGGCACTGCCCCACCCTCAAAGAGCTTGCTGTCTAGAATGAGATCCATCCATTTAGCAGGTGCTGACTACATGTTTAGGAATAAATGAAGGAAGGACAAATGAATGAATGAGGAAGCAAAACAGAGCAGCAACAAATGGTATGGTAGACAGTGCAGTGGGAGGAAAGACCAGGTCCACGGAAGTTGGAGGTGGTCTCAGATCATGTCCCCTTCTTGATGACATCTCTGTGATTAGGTATTAGTAATAATAATATAGCTATTATACAAATAGCACTTAGCAAGTGCTTGCCACTGATCTACACACTTTATATATAATAATTCTTTTAATCCTGACAAAAACCCTAAGAAGAAACTGAGGCACAGAGAGGTTAAGGAACTTATAGAAGGCCACACAGGAGTAGCAGAGTCAGGATTTGAACCCAGGCGGTCTGGCTCCAGAGCCTTGACCACAAGACAGTTTAAAAAAAAAAAACAAAAAAAACCCTGAGTACTGACTTCAGGTTTGTGCATTTTAATGTATGTAAATCTTGCCTTCCTCAAAAAAGAAATGGGGAAACAAAAGCTGGACTCGAGTCACCAATAAGCATGGTAAGAGGTTTAGGGGTAAAATGTGTACTGATGTTTGCAACTTTGAAAGGTATCCAAAAAATGATATAGATTGATAGGTATGTGATAAAGCAAATACAGAAAACTGTCCATTTTAGAATGTAGGTGGTAGGGATATATTCACTGTAAAATTATTTCAATTTTGTTCTGTTTGAACATTTTAATAATAAAATGTGTGAAAAAAAACAAAACCGTAACCTGCTGTCCAAAATGGGGAACATTGTAGCTGGGGGGAGAGAGAAGAAATGCCAGAAAGTTTCTGAATTTGAAGAAGGAAATGCAAATGCATATGGACCCAGGCACAGATACCCTCCTTACCTCCTGCCCCCACATGAGCTCCTCAGTCTTCACTCTCCGTAAGGACTGGGTGTGCAATCTTCCAGCACCCATCTCCCTCTCTATCTCAGTGCCACTAAGAGGCCTTCATCCAGGTCTCTGTCCAGAAGGTCTCGGATCACTGCCCTTATTTGTGTGCCCAACATCAGAATGCTGCCTCCTACAGGCAGTCCACCAAGATTGCCCCCATTCTTTCCCAACACCAACTTGTCACCAGCTTTCTGTCCTAGACTATCAACAGTACTCATATACTCCTGTACATCTATCTAGCCTAGCTGCCTCTGATTCTTTTCGTTAATCACTCAAGTGCCCTGCTAGATACAGCCCCAGAACGCCAGGCAAGTTTCCCCAAATCTACCAGAGCTCCTACTCTGATGTGGGAGCCTGGGTGTGTGTCTACACGTACACATTGGGATCATGAGCTCTCAGCGGATGCAGTGTGAGGGGTAATTGGGGAAAAATTAATCAGGGAAGGTACCTAGAGGAGGTATACACTCACTGACTACTTGCAGAATCAATAGGATGGCTGGAGCTGTGGGGGATTATAGGCTTAGTTACAGTCCCAGGAGTCTGAAAGAAAAGATGTTGTAACCCTAACCTTCAAAGCCTAACTTCCTCTCCTGATGAAGCTAGGGAGGCATCCAGACTAGGGGAGACGTTAGCCAGAGGAGGGGCTAGAATGTTTGAAGTGGCAACACCTCTCCACCCAGGCAGCTCCGGCCAGTCTGGAGTCTGTCTACCCACAGGCCACAGGCTCTGGATAAGCTGGGAGAGAGCAGGAGCCCTGGTGGGGAAAAACGGGGCAGGGAGAGGCAGTCACGCCCTGCAGTGAAGTGAAGCTAAGATGACGGAAGAGAGTATGGCTTTGGGGTTCCCTGAGCCCTGGAGGCATCTGCTGTCCAGCCTCTGTCTCTGCTCCCAAAGAATTAAATACAATCCACTTCTGCCTCCACTTCCCCTCATGGCGATCACAGGTCCTCCTCTCCACCTGTTTCTGCTCCCCAACCCCCCCCCACACCCCAGCATTCCTCTTGAGCCCAGGAGGGTCCCAGTTTCCAGACCCTGGTCAGTGCAGCTGGCTCTGGCAGCATGAAGTCAGCGACCCCCCTCTTTGCCCTCAAACAGGAACCAGTGGTTGCAGGGCAGGAAGTGTCTGAGGGGAAGTTATGGGGCCCAGACACTCCTCCATGCCCCACTTCAGCCCCAGCAGTATCTGTCCGTGGGAAGTGGCTCCCCACACCAGCCACATAGGGCCCTGCTCCCCAGAGCGGCTCTGGGCCGAGGGAGCGGCCCCAGCTGCCGGGTAGCTCCCTGTGTTTCACTGGTCCACACACACACCACCGGAAACCCTGGTTTCTCCTCCTCCGTCAGCCCCTCACCAGAACCTAGAACTACCCAGTGCTGGAGAGACCCCCATGAACCACCTAGTCAGCCTAAGACAGTGGAAAAGGGGTGTGCTCTGGAGCTCTGGGGTTCCAGGCCAGCTCTGCCACTTCTAGGCTGAACCTTCTTGTAAGAGTCTCGACTCGAGTCTCAGGTTCCTCACCGGGGAAACGGGCACCGTAATACCCTATGTTGTGAGGATTAGCAATGACAAAGGGAAAGTGCCCAGGTCAGGGTTGGCACATCAGTGGGGCTCCTCAGCCCTGGAACAGTTGTAACAGAGGGCCCCGCACTTTACAGATGAGGAACTTGAGGCACGTGACTTGGCCCAGGCCATTTAGCCTAGCAGAGCTGGGCTAGGTTTCCTGACCTCCAGGTCAGTTTTCAGTGCTTGACCTAATGGCAGCTTGTAAGGACAGAGGTAAGGTAACCCGCTGCACAAGGAGGGTGGAGGGTATGCAGCGAACAGAGGATAGAAAGCAGTATATGTGCATTCTTGAGTAGATGGCCAGGGGACAACTGGTGCGGGTGGGCAAGGGACCTCATGGGGAGACCCAGAGACAGCAGGGATGGCAGTGGGAAGCCTCTGAGGGGTAAGTGAGGTAACCTGTGAGAGATGGGCACCTCTGGTAGGAGGTGAGGTAACCCGATCTGGGGTGAAGAATCTGAGTATGTTTTTCTGCCTCTAAAACTGTTGGAGAGGGGCGCCTGGGTGGCTCAGTCGTTAAGCGTCTGCCTTCGGCTCAGGTCATAATCCCGGGGTCCTGGGATCGAGCCCCGAGTTGGGTTCCCTGCTCCGCGGGGAGCCTGCTTCTCCCTCTGCCACTCCCCATGCTTGTGTTTCCCCTCTCGCTGTGTCTCTCTCTGTCAAATAAATAAATAAAATCTTTAAAAATAAATAAATAAATAAAAATAAAACTGTTGGAGAGCAGGGCTGAGATACCCACGGAGGTTGAGATAACCAGGAGGATGGGGTGAGCCGAAGGGAGAAATGGGTCCCTGATACCTACCCTTTTCCCTGCAGAACTATGCCCTTACCTATATGGCGGGAGCTTGGGGCTGGGGGGGCTCCTGCTCCTGGCTATGGTCATTGTGTCCGCCTGTCTGTGTCGGCTCCATCGGAAAGGTGAGCCCCATCGCCCACAGCAGTGCCCCGGGTTGCCCCCACCCACACCCTTTCCTACTGCTTTCCCAGAAGTGCCCGTCAGTTCCCACCCGCCCTGGGAGAGGAGGGTGGGAGAGAGGAGCCAAGAGTATCCAAAGAGGGAGGCTGGGGTTTTGGCCATGGGAACCACAGAGATGTCAGCAAGTGAGGAAACACCCTCTGGGGTGGGGGGAGTGGGGGGGGGGCCTGCTGAGCTTCTTCTTTTCTTCCAGTGAGGAGGCTGGAGAGGAGTTGGGTGAGTCTGGGGGCCGGGAAGCGGGTGATGGGGGCAAGAGGAGGCTGAGGGCTGAGGCGGGTGGAGGCAAGAGAAGCAAGGGAAAGCGGGGGTGGGGGGGGCGGGGAGGGCATGAGAGAGCTGGAGAGGCAGAGAGAGAGAAGTAAGAATGAGAAGAGTAGAGAGAAATGGTGTAGAGAAAGGAAAAGGGAATAAGACAGAAAGGAGAGAGAGGAAGAAACTAGAGAGACAGAGAGAGAGAACGAGAGAGACGCAGGGCAAGAGAAAGAGAGGGAGAATAAGAACAACAGAGACCCAGGGAGAAGAGGCAACGAGAGAAGAGAGCAGGGGCTCAGGTGGGCAGAGACAGAGGGCGGGGGCGCTGAGGAGGCAGTGAGGTACAGGGGGGTGGGCAGCAGCCTGTGGGAAGGACCGGGGGAAGGGGCTCCTCTGGCGACCTCCCAGCAGCACCTTCTCCCTGGCCCCAGGCCCAGCTCTCGGAGCAAGAGCTCCACTATGCATCTCTGCTGCCCATGCCCTGGAGGGAGAGGCCTGACCTCAGCCACAGGGAAGGTGCCAAGGAGGACCCCAGCACCGAATATGCCTGCATTGCCAAGAACTAAGCCAGCGGAGCTCCCCCAGACGCCTCCCTGAACCCAGGTGGACCCTGTGGCCCACCCAGTAAAACCATGTCCTGCCACCTTCTGTGTCTCAGGCTTCTCAGTCCAACTCAACTCCGTCCCATTCAACACGGCCACCATCAAAACTTAAGCGACTTATCTTCCCACCCGTTCTGGGGTTGAGTAGTGATTTCTCAGGGGAAGAAGGGTGTTGAGGGACCCAAGTTCCCCTGAAGGCCAGAAAGAGTACACACGTGGGCGTGGCTGGAATGGGGAGTTGACATGTAGGACTCATCAGATCTGATACTCCCCATTTCTCAGGAGAATCCGCCTCAGCCTCCTGTACCCCAGAAAGGTGGAGGTGCTGAGCCCTGGGATGATGATGGGAGGGGGCTCCAGGCACGGTTACCGGGAAGCTCGCTCCTTGGACCTTTCTAGGCCAGGCTTGGTAGAAGAGAGAGTTAAGAGTCGGGGGACCCCAGAGAGGGGCATATTGTGGTACCTGGATAATGGAAAAGGAAACACATGAGACTCATAAGAAGGCATTAGTGGCGGGGCAGAGGAAGATTTATTGGGGTCTCTTGAAGACAGTTGGATGCCTGGGGTCTGGAATCACTCATCAGCGGCATCTAAGAAGTGGCGGCATGTTCCCAGGTGACGGTGGCCTGCAGGAGAGACCACAGGAGCTGCTCGGTGGGCGCCGCAGCCCTCCTCCGGCTGCTCTCTGTCTCCCCCTCCTCCAGTTCTCTTCCAACACTGCCCTAGCCCCCTTCCTTACATTTGCCTTGGTAATAGATGGTGCTGCCCATGGCCACACAGATAAAGCTGAAGGCATAGAATCCAGCCCGAAGGAGGAGGACTGTGCTGGCCCCTAGCCGAGGAGGTCCTGCATGGGGGTGGTAGAAGGAAGGGGCGAAGGGGGGACCTAAGGAAGAAGCAGGCACAGACCCAGGGAGGGACAGAGAGCAGGGGGCCTCAGGGAAAGACTCCCAACTTCCAGGAAGAGTGGGGTCTCCCATCTCACCTTTCTCTACCACCAGCAGAGTCCCATTCCCCATCCCAACACCTAGGCCCAGCACCTCCACCCTGCACACGTAGACTCCAGCGTCACAGTGTTGGGTGTCCCAGATGTGCAGCTCGGCCTGATGGTCATAGAGGAAACGGGAAGAGGGAAGAGGGGCCAGGCGGCCCCTGAACTCTGGGGTCCCATTCCTCACTTCCTTCTCTGGGGCCACCTTGTCCCGGTACCACGTGACAGAGCCAATGGCCAATTTCCCTTGGCTGGCATTGAAGGAGCAGGGCAAGAAGGCAGCGGTGCCCTCCTGGGTACGAATTTCCAGGGGCTGGAACACCCAGAGAGCACAGGATCCTGGCAGGCAAAGAGAAGACCCAGAAAAACACCTCTCTGGTTACAATATAGAGAAAGGACAAGAGAGTTTGCAGTAGAATATCCCAGCTGTGTCTCCACCCACAGAGGACCCAGAGGATCAAGCACTTTGCTACCCCATGAAACCCCTTGCTCTCCACCAGCCTCATTTCTTAACATTGTTTATTAAATAGTTTTTCAGGGCACCTGGGTGGCTCAGTCATTAAGTGTCTGCCTTCAGCTCAGGTCATGATCCCAGGGTCCTAGGATCGAGCCCCGCATCGGGCTCCCTGCTCCACAGGAAGCCTGCTTCTCCATCTCCCTCTCCCCCTGCTTATGTTCCCTCTCCCGCTGTCTCTGTCAAGTAAAGAAATAAAATCTTAAAAAAAAAAATAAATAGCTTTTCAAATCCTTTCCTATACCAACACTCATCCTCACCCCATCCCATCACTGTCCAGCCACATTTACTAGTAATGTCTTGCTGAAACTTAACCTGTCCCATTGAAATTGGAGCTCATTAATGAATGTGGCTGCCTAGCTAACTAATAATTAACTATATTATTCCAGGTATTATTTTCATACCAATGGCATACCGTATACAGTACACCACCCTTGCTACTTTGTTTTTTGTTAAAGAGCATTAACTAATTGAGTCTTCAGGTGAAGACATAGCAATAATTGATTGAAATCCCTCTTTAACTCAACCAAATGGATGAATTAAAGCAATTTGTAAAATCTCCAATTAGATTCTCTAGTTCGTGAAATTTACCTGCCATTCTTCTTATTTCAGTGGTTCTCAAGCTTGAGAGCATATCGGAATCACCTGGAGTGTCTGCTAAGACAGATTCCTGGGCCCGACCCCCCTTGGGTTTAGAGTTGAGCCTGAGAATTTGCCCCAGGTTCCCAGCTGATGCTAAAGCTGTGGGTCTGGAGTCCACACTGCATTTAGTTCATGGATATGGCTGATAGTTAACGTCCCTCAGTTAATTAAAATCAGTTTCACTGAGAAACTTCCCTCAGAGTTAATTAGGTCTCCCAAACTCCTAATTACATCTAGACCCTAGATAATAAGCCTTGTTTAATAGGCTTATTAAGCTCATCAAATTAAAATTGACCCCTTCAAAAAAAAATTTCACCTCTTCCTCCCTTCAAGCTCTTTATACTGGTTCTTCAACTCTATCTTACTAGGATGGTGGCTGAGAAGAAAGGACCGCTGGGATGGAAGCTGGGGTGTGACCCTCCCAGTGGGCAACAAAAGAGGAGAAATGGAGGGAATTGTGAACTGGGGGTGTCCACACTGCTTCCGCTTCCAGAGGACCCCACCCGCTCCCACTCTCCTTTCTGGGCCACTCCCCTCAGGCCTCAATGTCAGCCTCCCCCATCCTCACTCCTCCCAGCCCCACACCCCTCAGGGTTCTGGGAGAAAGCCCTCTCACCTGGATGGACCATGATAAAGATGAGCAATAGCATCCGGGTCATGTCAGAGGGTGTTCCAGTTGGCAAAGGGGATCTGAGAAGTAAGGTCTGGGTGGAGAAAGAACAATCTAGTGCTCGTGGCCAGGCCTTTGGTCAGCACCAGCTGGAGGTGGGCAGCGTCCTATGACACACAGGACTCACACATCACTTATCAAGGACCTCAATTGCCTGGGACCTCGGGCATCACATGCATGCCTCCTTGAGGAGAGAGGATGCTGCTGATGGCAGTATCTGGGTCGCTAGGAGGCGGGGACAACACATGGTCCAGTGGCCTAAGTGTTTGAGGGGGAAGGGAGGGCTGAGATGGCAGCTCACACTAGGGTGGGTGGGTGAGACCAGGATGTGGTTCCCCTACCTCCTGAGTTTCGAGAAGACCAACGCTTTACCCAGAATAAGCCTCCAGGAGCCCTCCTGGGCCCAGAGCTAACCTATTTCCCCCTTCGTCTTGGCTCAGCAGTGCCCAGGCCCACCCCATCTGTTCCCTTCCCTCTAGGCTGGCTCACCCCTAGGACTGCTCTAGAAATTCTATAATAGAGGGGATTAGGAGAAGCAAGCTGATTGGTGGTGGCGGCGGGCGGTTGCTAGGGACTTTGGAAGCTTCATTTGCATAGCAATCAACCTGTTTTACTTAGATCGTGTAGACTTGGGTGGTTTGGCTGAGTGAAAGCAACGGATGGAGAGGTCTGGACTCATTCATATTCAGATCTCCATTAAAGGAATATACCTCTCACTGAGGTCCGCTTTACTCATTGTGTTCTGCAAGTACTTGTCACTCACTGGTAAACCCACTCTGTTATTTTGTTCACTGTTTAGCTAGCATTTCTTGAGAAACTATCAAGTGCCCTTACATGAAAAATATTCTTAAAGACACAAAGGAAAGACTTTGAGTTCATAACTCCAAGGTTATACAGGGATTGGTACAAGAACATACCACACATTCTTGTATATGCATTACACACCTACATGAGACCGCACAGCCCATAGAAGAGGAGGATTACATGAACAATGCCAGGGAAGGCATGGGCCCAGCCCTCAGCGCACAGTTCTCTCTGGCTCCTTTGATGTTAATACATCTTTTTCCCTGAGGGTCCCTGTCTCTAGCTCTGTTTCACAATACATTGTGAAATTCCCATTTTTCCCTGCAGTGATCTAGAGTTTTGTTTTGGAGAAGCAGCAACGTCATGGTTAAGAATGCTGGCTTGAGAGCGCCTGGGTGGCTCAGAGGGTTAAGCGTCTGCCTTCGGCTCAGGTCATGATCCCAGGGTCCTGGGATCGAGTCCTTCATCGGGCTCCCTGCTCAGTGGGGAGCCTGCTTCTCCCTCTGCCTCTTTCTGTCTCTCATGAATAAATAAATAAAATCTTAAAAAAAGAATGCTGGCTTGGAGTCAGCCTGGGTTCAAAGGCCAGCCCCTCCACAAACTAGTTATACGATCCTGAACAAATTATTTAACCTCTCCGAACCACCTACACAAGCACCCACGCCACATAATCTGGGGAGGACTGACTCAACCGTTCTCCAGTAGTAGCCAGGGCTTCCTCCTCTGGGCCTCTAACCTGAGGGTGTGGGACGCAGGTGCCCTTGGCAAGGCAAGGGCTGCCCCCTGCTGGCCACAGAGCATGGGGAGGCCTGAGATGCCCCTAGGTGGTTTTTCCCTAATGGGCCTTAATTCCAGCTTCGGCCTAGTCCCCTTACCTTGCCTCGTCCGATCAACAGCCCATGTCCACCCAGAGAGTCAATGTGGAGGAAATTGTCTCTTCTACTCAACGATGAGAAGTCCAGAGTTTGAGGAGGGAGTAGAGATCACCACCGGTGGAGGGGGAGTGTGAGGGTGGGATGGGCAACCGGCCCGAAGGGAAAACTCCATACTTTCACGGTACCCACACAGGGCACTGCTCCCTGTCCCAGGACAATGTGGCTTGGAAGTCAAGTCAGCCTTAGTTGGCGTCCTGGTTCCATTGCTCACACATCTGTGAGATGAGAACAGTATCTGTCAATTTCCAGACTTCATGGTATGGGATGCTCGGTAGGTTTGCCCCAGGCCCTCCCCAGTCCGGGGTAGGATGACCATTGTTACAGCTGTGCCCGAACTCAAGCATACCTTGCTCTCTCCATCTCTTGTCTCTACCCAAGATTTCCAGTATCCAAAAATGTTGTGGATTCCCAAGACTGTACTTGGATTTCTTTTAAGTCCATCTAGAATAAATCCTGGCATACGTGTAGATTCAGGGACCCTTTCAATAGCTCTGAGACTCTCTAGGGAACTTTAACCTGCAGGATGGGAACTGCTGCACTAATCAGCCCAAGGATGGACTTTTTCAAAAGAAACTTTTTAAAAGATTTTATTTATTTATTTGACAGAGAGAGACACAGCGAGAGAGGGAACACAAGCAGGGGGAGTGGGAGAGGGAGAAGCAGGCTCCCCGCAGAGCAGGGAGCCCGATGCGGGACTCGATCCCAGGACCCTGGGATCATGACCTGAGCCGAAGGCAGACACTTAACCGACTGAGCCACCCAGGCACCCTCTGGTCTAACTTCTTTAACACCCCACCCATGGGCTGCCTTGAAGGTGGTCAGAGCTCAGAGCAGGAAAAGAGGTGAAGGCACAGAAGGAACTCTGGAATCCCAGCACTGTGATCCCATTTTACCGGGGATTTCCTCCTGTGCTGGGAGTGGTAAGATGCAGGTAACTCCTCCTCTGGCCAAGTCCTTATAAACATTTTCAATGAATTAGCAGCCCCCACGTTCCACTTTCAGTCTCTGACCACAGCTTCTCCTCTGAGGCTCATGCAATGGACCCCGCCACCTTCCGCCCCCTTGCCGTCAAGGTCTATTCTCCTTCACATTCACCAAGAGCAGGCACCTAACTCTCCAGCTTCCTCTCTATTTCACCCCCACTCCACCGGTGGTGATCTCTACTCCCTTCATGTCCACGTAAATGATATTTTTAAACACTGAGATATAATTATATACAGCAAAATGCAGGTCTTTTTTTAAAAAAATTTTAAGTGCACAGATCTTAAGTGTACAGTTCAGTGTTCTCTGGCAAACCTATACACCCCTGTAAACAACACTGCAAGTAAGATACAGATCATTTCCATCACTCTAGAAAATTCTCCCATGCCTCTTTTTGGTCAGTCCCTTTCCCTTCCCAGAAGCAACTACTGATTTATACCCCTATAAATGTATATCCCTATATTATACCTCTATTCTTGAACTTCGTATAAGTGTGATCACATAGTATACACTCTTGTATCCGGCTTCATTCATTCTGTATAAAGTCTGTGAGATTCATCTATTGTTGTGTGTATCAGTACTTTGTTCCTTTTTTTTTTTTTTTCCTGAGTACCACAGTTTATTTATCCACTCATCTGATGATGTACAAGCAGGTGGTATGAACATTCTTGTACACAACTTGTAAATGATTTTTCTTTTCTTTCTTTTTTCTTAGAGAGTGTGTGTGAGGTGAGGGGAGGGGCAGGGGGACAGAATCTTAAACAGACTCCATGCTGAGCACTGAGCCCAACTCGGGGCTCCATACCACAACCCTGAGAGCATGGCCTGAGCCGAAATCAAGAGCCTCCCAGGTGCCCAACAAATGATTTTTCAATATACTGATCTCACAGTTGCTTTCCCTGGTCTACTCCAACCATCACCTTGATTCTACATGTCACCATGGAAGTTGTTCCACTTTGGAATCTTACCTCCCCTTTCCCAGGGAAATAAAAGCAATTAGGCCTCAGTCCCTCCAGACTCCTGTACCCTATACATGTGCTTTCACATGATTCAGCTGTTGGCTGACTTTTGGGTTCTTTCTCTCTCTTTTTTTTTTTTTTTAAGATTTTATTTATCTATTCAGTAGAGACAGAGAGACAAAGAGAGAGGCAGAGGGAGAAGCAGGCTCCCAAGGAGCAGGGAGCCCGATGCGGGACTCGATTCCAGGATCCTGGGATCATGACCTGAGCCAAAGGCAGACGCTTAACCATCTGAGCCACCCAGGCGCCGCTCTCTCACTTTCATTCAGCGAACTGCGAGCACCTACCGTGGGGCTTACCTAGGCAATCCTGTCTTAGCCAGTTTTAACTACTGCATATTCTCTGTCGAGACTCCAGTCTGTATCTCCATCTCAGTCTACACCTTCACCTGAGGCCTCTTTCTTGAGGTCCAAGTCCAGAATATCTAGCTGTCCTCGGGACATCTCCTCCAGAGTGTTCCACAGGCAATTCAAAATCATCAGTACCCACCCAAACTGCATCAGCCTCCTAGAGTCCCCATGTCAGTGCATGGAAGCAGAATCCACCCCATCACTTAAGGCAAAAGCCTGGGATTTATATTTTTCTGCCTTCCCTCAATTTCCCCATCCAAACAATCTCTAAGTCCTGTCCATTCTGCCTCTAAAATATCTCAAGTATCTTCCCACCTCTTAATTGTCACTGCTAGTTAAGGGCCTTGTCATCTCAGGATAAAACGAGTACAATAGCTTCTCTGATGGACAGTGTGGTTTCTTCTCAATATCCATTCTACACCTCCGTCTCCAAGTGTTGGGGCTCATCCATCCATTCAACAGCGGTTGTACTGAGTTCCTTCCACATGCCGGACATTCTGCCTTCCTTTTCCCCTCCCCTTCTCTCTCATATCTCCCACATCTCTGTCCACAACTCTTTCCTCTCACCATCTTTATTCATATCATTTGTTTCTTCCCTGTGTCTCTATCCACACCCCACATCTCTCCACACACCTTTACTCACTCCCCCCCCACCCATCTGCTTGTTCACTAATTCATTCATTCAACAAATATTTGGTGAGCACCTTCCATGTGCTAGGCACCTCTCTCTCCATCCTTCTGTCTCTTCCCCCATTTCTCTCCACATTTCTTTCTGCCTCCCCATCTTTCCCTACATTTTCCCAGCACATCTCTTTCCCCCAACCCATCTTTCATTCTCTTTCTCCTCCATTTCTCTCTGTGTGGGAGAATGAGTCAAGGCTGCAAGGCACTTGCCTTTTT